TTGTTTGCGTTTTCCTTCACACTTTTGACGCGATTTTAAATAATTTTTAACATTCCGCGCGTTCCGCCGTATCATTTAACGCCAATCCGCGCCCGAATGAAAATATCCCCCGAATGTCGCTAAAATATCACGTCCTTTTGTCCTATTTTTTAATGGCGTCCCGTGTTTCGCCGATGAAACAGCTTTTAAAAATCATTCTGGTCAAAATTTCCGCTAGATAATTGGGTCCGGCTGTAAATAATGGCCAAACACACTAAAAGTTATAACCATAAAAACGAGACAATAGAATCTCTCTATAAAATTTCGCTAATAACGTCGAAGTCCAATTTAGCAGGCCCAAAATCGAAACGTAAAATTTTTCGGTTTTGCAGTTGGGACATATGCCGATCGGTTTATTCCAAATATTTCGAATATCTTAAAGGGAGATGAGGGACAAACCGTTTACCCGAAAAATTGTCAAAACCGGAAGATGGGAAAAACGTAATACATTCTGTTTTCCCGGTGCGGAAAATATTTGTCAGTATAAGGATATGACTTCCATTTAACAGGACATCAGAATGCGAGGCATATCGCAGCAAGTTGAGTGATATTCACAATTTAGGGATTTCGAAGATATTTCGAATTACGTTGGCAGGATTCCTACGCGGTAAATCTAGCCCCGACATATGTATATACAGTGTGTCCAAGATAAGGATGCACAGCATGGGGATCTCGGAAACTATAAGAGATACAGTGTCGGTTAAATTAGACAAAAGTTGCGCATTTTGATACCGAACAAGATCCCGTTTTACAAATTTGAAAATTCCAAGCCGTTCCGGAAATATCCGAGAAAAACCGAAATATTGCGATTTCGTTTTTATTATTTTTTAAAGCTATTTGAAAAGATATGAAAAAACGGAAAACACTTTTCCATTGGCACTTTTTAATCTCTCCAAATTGACGTTAACAAATTTTCATTACAGCGTTTCGATTCCATGGAACCACCATCAACTTTGATTTTTCTTATGGGACGGAAAAAAAGTACACACAGTATTAGGCTGTGCTTTTCATTGCGAATTCAGCGATGTACGATAGAATATGGTTACTTATGTTTTTATCCAGAAAAATGGATTTTAATACATTTCAGCATTTAAATGGAGTAGGCCATGACAAAATGACATCCAGTCAATTTCAATGACACATTAATGTTATTTGTCTTTGTTATCAGTCGATCATAAGTTTATTCCTTTAGTTATTGTTTTTGTATTTTTATTGTTGTTGTCTTTTTCTAATTTATTTTGTTCTACAATGGAGGGAGGTAATTTTACAAACGAAGAAAAATGTGATATGCTGTCTTGCTACATCTGATGCCAAAGAAATTGTGTGGAAGCCGAGCGTATGTATTCTAACAAATACCCAGAGCGGAGACAACCTGACAAGAGTATTTTTCGGCGTTTGTTATTTAATCTGAAAGAATATGGATCATTTAAGAATCCTGCATTATCCCGACAAAGACCTTCCAATGAAGAAAACCAATACATTGTTCTACAATCTGTTATCGAAAATCCACAAACTTCTACCAGAGAAATTGAAGACCAGAATGGGGTAGCTAAATCTACAGCTCAGTTTATTTTAAGGAAAAATGAATTTAAGCCTTACAAATTCAGAATATGTCAAGGATTAAAACCGGGTGACGACGAACGATGTAGACATTTTTGTGAGTGGTATACCAGGATGTGTGATGAGAGTTTTAATTTTCCATATAAAGTGATTTGGTCTGATGAAAGTATGGTGACCAATAACGGTATTTATAACAGGCGCAATACACACTATTGGTCGCAACAAAATCCACGTGTTAATAGACTATCCAGACATCAAGTTCGCTTTGGGTTTAATATTTGGTGTGGGATTTTTGGTAGCAAGATTATAGGCCCTATTTTCTATAATAATTCCTTAACTTCCGAGCGGTACCTTGACATCTTGAGGCACGATTTAGAAGATGCCTTAGATGATTTACCGCTAGGCGCTGTGCAAGGCTGCTGGTTCCAACAAGATGGTGCCCCAGCCCATAACTCCAGAGAAGTTCGCCAATATTTAACTGAACGGTTTGATGGAAAATACATTGGGACTTACAGTGAAACACCTTGGCCTCCAAGGTCCCCGGACTTAACTCCCTTGGACTTTTTCTTATGGGGCTACATAAAAAATGAGGTATTCAAAGAATGTTTCGACAACGAGGAACAATTACGTCAATCAGTACGAGCAGCGTTTAATAAAATTACTCCTGAAATGTTAAGTCGTGTTTTGGAGTCTACCGTGAGACGGGCGTACTTATGCCTAGAAAATGGAGGTCATTTATTCGAACATTTGTTATAGAATTTGTTTTTCATTAACTTGTTGGATTTAGTTGTTATGTTAAATGAACAGTTAGAGTTAGTAAATAAATAAACACATTAACTCGAACTTGTCAACCATTTTCTTTTGCCTTTCATCGTTCGGATCTCATGGCCTACTACAATAAAATACTAGAAATGTATTAAAAAGCCATTTTTCTGGATAAAAACATAAGTAACCGTATTGTATCGTACATCGTTGAATTCGCAATGAAAAGCACAACCTAATACTGTGTGTACTTTTTTTCCGTCCCATAAGAAAAATCAAAGTTGATGGTGGTTCCATGGAATCGAAACGCTGTAATGAAAATTTGTTAACGTCAATTTGGAGAGATTAAAAAGTGCCAATGGAAAAGTGTTTTCCGTTTTTTCATATCTTTTCAAATAGCTTTAAAAAATAATAAAAACTAAATCGCAATATTTCGGTTTTTCTCGGATATTTCCGGAACGGCTTGGAATTTTCAAATTTGTAAAACGGTCTCTTGTTCGGTATCAAAATGCGCAACTTTTGTCTAATTTAACCGACACTGTATCTCTTATAGTTTCCGAGATCCCCATGCTGTGCATCCTTATCTTGGACACACTGTATAATTTCCTAAATTGTAACACAATTTTAACCATGAAACTTTTTTTTTTTGAAGTGAACCCAAAATGCCTACAGGATTCTTGTTGATCCTTAAGGGTGTGGTTCCTTGGTAGGTCCGCAATCGCGTTATTTGTAGTATGCCAGGAATTAAAATTAAAAAGAAAAACTTTTTTTAAACTTTTAAATTTGCATTGACACCGTTTTAGATGTTTTGTTGAAAATTTTTAGATTATGTTATATGTTATATATGAAAAAAATACATTGTGTGATCAATCCAAATAACTTTTGTTATATCTGTGGTAGTGGTATTAGCAAAGGCATACTATAACTTCTATGAATACCACGCTTATTTTGGTGTAAAAATTGGCGACCAAGACAAGTCCTGGGCTCCTCATACTGTTTGTTCTGTTTGCGTTGAAGCATTACGAAACCGGTAAAAAGTAGAAAGGAATGTTTAAGCTTTGGTGTTCCTATGGTATGGCGCGGGCCTAGGAATCACAGTGATGATTATTTTGGTTCTTGTAATGTTCAAGGATTCGACAGAAAAAATTAAAAACAAATTGTGTATCCCAATCTTGACTCTGCTAAGCGACCAGTTCTCATGGACAAGATGTACCGATACCTGCCACACCCAAAGAACTAGGAAACGTCATATCGTCGGAATCAGAGGAATCTAATTCCGACCCAGATGATTCAGATTTCACAACAGAATTGAATGATTTAATTAGAGATTTCCACCTTCATCGCGAAAAAGAGTTATCTCAATATTTTACTCAGGAAGGACCGCGCATGTATTGCAACAATATCCCTGACTTAGTTTTAAAATTAGGAAGGAAACGTGCCGTATATAAAAGAAGAATGGCGCCTGTTTATTGACTCAAGTACGCGTAGATTAAAAGGCGTTTTATTGAACAATGGTAACGAACTGGCCTCGGTTCCCCTTGCCCATTCGGTAAATTTAAAAGAAACGTATGAAAATTTAGGACTTCTTTTGAAGAAAATAAACTACCAAAAACATGAATGGATGCTTTGTGGTGACCTTATAGTGCTGTGCATGCTCCTAGGACAACAAAATGTCCAAACTCTATTGGTGAGTGAGTGATACTCAGGCAAGAGATAGGCATTGTAGTCAAACAGAATGGCCCTCTAGAACAAGCTTTACACCTGGTAGCAAAAAGATATTAAGAGAGAGCCTAGTTGACCCCAAAAAAGTTTTACTGGCTCCTCTTCATATCAAATTTCGCTTGATGAAGCAGTTTGTTGCCCTTAAAAACACACAGCCTTATGTCCGTACTACGCAGCTTTCTGGCAAAAAGACGAAGGTTGAAGTCCAAAAAGTCTGAGTAAAGTTTTTCTTTTTCACTTTTTTTAAATTAAGGTTCCACTTTTTTGCTGAATAAAAAAATAAATTATTTTAGAAATATTGTTTTTTTCCTTACACGATACAAATAAATGAATAGAATTTTTGAAATCAGCCTACGAAAATTATATGAAATCAGTTTTCAAAATAAAAACATCTGTCAAAAAGTTTAATTTTGTATACTTGTGTAATTAATAATTAGAATTAAATTAAAACTTAAATAACTGTAATTTACTATTGAATATGAAATAGTAGCATTAAACAGCAAGAAAAAAAATCACTAAGAAAGCTATCTAAATTAGCTGTTCAAGCTGTTGAGTCTCGTACCTTTTCAAAAAATGGAGTATTTCCGTTATACCCTGTATATCAAAACTAAAGCGATTGCTAACGTACATTGATATAAACTTTTTTTCTTAAAATTATCCAAGGAATCGCCCTTAACGATCAGCCTGTTATTATGAAACACCCTGTATAATCGCTATAATCTGAGATTGCGACATCAATGGAATATCTCTTTCCGATTCATAATAATAATAATAATACTGTGTCTGTATACGGTATACATATGGTATGTTCATTGCCTTAATCGTAAACCTTTGGTGGTAAGCAGTGTATTTATTCTTTAATTTTACCAACAAAATGGCGGTTGTGTGCGAATTTAACACAAGTCTCGTTTTTGCAGAACCGTGCGACAAGACGTATTGCGCGTTTGGTGCGCAATGTGTGCACGCACCAGATGGAAAAACCCAATGTCAATGTCCCACGATGTGTGGCGACAATTTCGACCCGGTTTGTGGCACCGACAATGTCACATATGACAATCATTGCTATCTTCGTGTTGCTTCGTGCAAAGCACGAGTACATACTCGGATTATGCACAACGGCGAATGCTGTAAGTATCGATTATCCTATCACTGATAAGATTTAATATGCACATGTGTTCACTATAATATTATATACATAAAGAAAAACGTAAATTAAATTTTAACAGAGATGAAAATGAACGCGCCACTTTGAATTTTCAGCGAATAAAAATAGAGTAAAAAACCGCGTGGCGATAACCATCTGAGTTTTGAACATAATTTTCAACAGATAACGCCGAAATGTGTTGGAGTTTCATTTCCCCGGAGACAGAACAGATACTATTTTCCGGGGCCGTATGGGCTCTTGAATGGATAGTTACTGCCCAACGTGTGACCTCGTAAAAATATTATCTTGTTATAAAAGTCGTACGAAAGGAACGTCTCATATACCACACTACCGAGTGTTTTAGACGCAATTTGAAATAAGACCCACTGTCGAGTTTTCTTAAGATTTTCAAAAAATAAGAAAACAAATTTTATTAGTTAATGCGCTCAGTGGTGAGTTCAAATGTAATGTGGTGCTTAACATTTGAAATGTAGGTAAAATATTACATCCATCCATGATATATACGAGATAATTAATATCTTAGAAATAAGGATTATTTCAAAAAACTCAATTCACTAACAACAGTTATCAATGTTCACTGTTTTATGTAGATGTATACTTTTAGGTTAATAATAAGAATAACAATAACAATAAATATAATCTGATTAATACAATGACGCCGTTTAATAAATACTTACCTGAAACTATATTGCAGAATGAAAATATAAATATTTGAATTGCGAGTTGATTGCGAGAAATGAAAAGTTAGATAAGTATCAGGAATTGGCCCTGGAAATAAAATAATTTTCTCCCCGAATGGCCTAATTGAAAAGCAGCTCCTCAAATTTCTGAAGTAAGCTGAACTGTCGGTCTCGAAAACAATTATAGATCTTGTCCAAAAAGCTATTAATTCTATCAACATGTTAGAAGAGTTCTGGAGCGTGAATCGAACGTTGGCTAAGCTTAGTCCGGTTTTGCAAAAAACACACCGACGGAAGTTCTGGTTTAAAATAATAATAATTATAGTAAGTGGTCTATTTTGGTCAAAATAAAAAAATAATTAAAGAAAAAGAGAAGAATAAAAAAAAATAAAAAAAATATCAGAAGAAAAATAACACAAACAAAAGAAAAGTTAACCAAGGGAGAAGTTTAGCCTCATCATAAAGGTGATAAAGTGCTATACTTACACTTAACCTGAAGAAACTTACAAAAATTTACTATAGGAGCTACAACTAAATTACAAAAAATGAGATTTCCTACTGAGTAAATAAACCGTGATAAAAAAAATCATACTACACATTACATTAAAGCATTAAAAGTGTTTAACGAAAACAATAACTCTTGATAATTTAATGGAGAAAATCAGTTGTCTAAAAAAGTGTCCTTATATTGGTTTTAGAAAATTAATAGAAAGGTTTTTAAGTGATGGACAGAGTATAAATTAATTTACTTTTGTTATTTTTTATTGTTCAGGATTGTTACTTTGATTTTGTAGCCATTAGATTGTTGTAAACATGATTTAATGTTGAAATTATTATTTTAAATATTATACAAATATATAATTAGTTTTGAAAATATTAAAATCCAGTAGAAAGAATCTTTTCTGATAAATCAGTTTATTTAATGTGTTATTTCCTGTAAATCTTTTTCAAATTTGTACAAGCGACAAAATATTTATGATCATTCTGACAGTAAATTATTTTTAATTTTTTAAAGTTTTTCAAAGTATCATTAATTCTAAAGAATACTTTCGAAGGTCTCTTAAGCATATACATTATCCGCAGTTATTTCATTACCTGAAACTTGCGTGTTTTTGTTTTAGAAAATCTTCGCAAACTTATTTCACTATACTTAAAACTGAAATTAATAGTTTTTTATTTGGAAGTAATGATGGACCATGTGATTTCACCACTGTGCAGCAATGTAGATTCAAACAGAATAGAATATAATTTTTCATGAATTATTTTGGTAAAGGATTTATAAAAATCAGGCGTCTTGTACTTATATATGATTGTTTTGCATACTATTTTATTTGTTAATGATACAGCTTGTGGTTTATTGAAGTTTTGTGAGAATTACACTGTGGAGGTAAGTAAATAATTTTCCTTAATTAAATTTTGGTTTTGAAAGTAAAACTTTAAATTTACATTGATCGTACTGGAATCGAAGTGTGGCATTTTTTTAACAGTTGCATACACTTTTTTATATTCAGCCATTGTGTCGAAAAAAAATGGAAACTATTAAAATTAAATTAAAATTTCCGTAAATTTCATATATTAATTTAAAATTGTTTATCTTAATTTTAATTAGTTCAAAACAAACACTTTGCAGTTTTTTTTATATTTTGTGAAATTATAATTTGTTTTTTTTTATGCAGTATCTATATTTTCTCTAAAATCCTATTGAAAAATTAAATATATTACAATTTGCATATACACAGAAAATATTGTTTTCCCAAGACATTAGTTCCACCACCATTTCGTTTTAATTTCAGGACCTCGATTCATTACGAAATAATTTAATTATTAGACCATTTTATTCTCTACGCTGGCGGAAAATTTTATTAGCGTACACGAAAATTTCTCCAAGTTGTTAAAACGTGGCGGAAGCATAATTCCATTATTTACTTACTGAAATTAAAATTTCCCGCTTAATAAATAGAGCTAAAAAAGAAAGGGAATATTTTTTAAAACATTCTAAAATTTATTTGGTTTGTTAGGTTAGTTTTTCGCGAATCAATGAATTGCTTTTTTTGACTGGGAACTTATCTGTCTCTATATATCTATATAGTGCGAGAAAAGTGCGATTTCTATTTTTACCGTAAGTAAAATCCATCGTAATAGCACTCGTCGCACTTGGTAATGTATGCTCCCGTATAGACTTAAACGAATTTTATCGAAGTGCCAAAATGTGAAGGTTAAAAGTGCCGTGTCACTTTTTCGACACACTAGTCTGATATTATGATAAACTTAAAATCAATATGGCGCTTGCTCGCCGTTGTCTTCAAATGCAGGCACGCTACCTGCGGTGCAAGTTATGTTTCGGAAAAGCCTTCCTGCTCACCTCAGTGAGGTTTAGACCAGTGCCGAGTTCGCGCGTTCGCACTATCTCGTAATCGATCGTGATACTTCGTGTGACCTCGGCTCTCGAAATATATGTGTCTGGTTCTTAGCCTTTTGTAGCGCCCGACTCAATCGGGGGGCGCGTTTTTTTTTTACTTTAAGCTTCATTGCCGTTGCGTAGAAATAAATCCCACACATTTCACCCGGCACTAATTCAGTAATTCAGTACAATAATTTATTCCTTCTCAGGCGAATTTGTGATATCACGTTGAAACAATGTTGATGATTCGTTTTCTAACGTTCATTTTAATTCACAAATCACTCGTTGTCCAATGCTGCTACGTATTTCCCAAGGGTAAGTTCTTACTTTACCTCGAGGAACAATCGGCTCTTTGATCATGCGCGGGGACCCCCCACCCACACACACACACATCTTTATGAATGAACGCGCATTACTTATGATTATTTTTCTGTTAAATTAATTTCCGACTCCGTATTTACTCGGCAACGTCGCACGAATTCGCAAATTTAAATGGGACTTTAAACTTTTGAGCTTTTTAATTATTGAAGAGCTCTCCAGTCGAGAGAGAGAGAGAGAAGGAAGTGGATTTTAAATTTAATTTAACACACTCGACATGGGGTGGCTGTTTAATTTTTTTCCTAGCCTTTATTTAGAGCCAATCGTGTTACAATTAATTTGTTGCATTTCCAAGTATTTTATTACTCTTATTATTTTGTTTGCAGTACAAAGCGACTTGTGTCGCGACAAAACGTGCGGTTTCGGAGCTAGATGCGTCATAAGCCCTGACGGAAGGAATGCCAGTTGCGTATGCCCGGAAAAATGTCATAGTTATGGCGATCATGTGACGTCTCATCCCGTATGCGGCTCGGATGGGCTGGACTATAAAAATAAGTGCGAATTGGATAGGGCGGCCTGCAAAGCAAATTCTAACATTACAGTGAAATTCAATGGGAAATGCGGTTCGTATCGATTGTTCCGGATCTGCTGATTTGGCAAAACTATTCTGGAAGGTCGTTTTTTTTATTTAAATACTTACCACCCCTGAGGTCCCCACCCCTTTACGCTTCTCGCCCCGCCCGTTTAGCTATGTTCTAATGAAGCAACGAAATACAATATACAATTGGAAAATTTATGCCAATTTTTGTAAATGTCTGAGGTTAACGCTTATTTAAGATTATAAGAGCACTTTTTATTTTTATATCAAAACTATACCGCTATTAGAAGCATGGTCTAATGAAAATACTCATTTATAATAATTGCACAATTATATTAAATCTACAAGATTCACAATTGATAATTACGGTGGGAAAATATAAATCTCGCCTTTTATTACGAAAACGACTCTTTAAATTTATAGTAAAAACCCGTTCTAAACAAACATCTTGAAGCGAAAACTGTTAAATCAACCAATTCAAAATACAAACACGGCATAAAATATCTCCGCCGAATTGGTTCTTTGACTAAATATTCAACATCGAAATTTATATAAGCTTAACCGAATTCAATCTGTCAATATGCAGAAATCAGCTTTGCAAACTTAAAGGCGCATAATTTTCAAAATATTTTATTCGATGATTGACGTTATTCTTTTAGATGTGACTGAAAGATATATATTTTGAAGAAAGTAATCTACCAAAGCAGTTTCATCAGTCTTGGTTAGTATTTGAGGTATCGAACATTTTGTTTTGTATACAAGGTGTTCCTTTGGTGTACCCATGCCTCTGCTGATGGGGAATTCAGGATTTGTAAAATTCCTCATATTGACAGAAAATTGCTAAAAATTAAATTAACTCAACGAAAACAACGATTTGACAGTGACATTTATGCAGTGGCATTTGTTCAAGACTAACTAGATGATTATTTTCAAAAATGATTAAACAGTGTTGGCAATTATCACTTTTAATTTATTGTTTTAATCCAAAATACGCGATGCAAATCGCGGACGGACGCCACAGGTATAGATAAAAAGAGAGCTAAAAAGAACCGAATTTGAAAATGGCTCTTAAAGACAATCAAAGAAAATACTAGTAATAATAAAACTAAGGTAAATTTAGCAAACTTTTACCTATAGATTTCTCTAACTTGTTCATCCAAAAATTTTGGAAAAAGATTAATTTCAAAACTTTTTAGGTTGCTTAAAATTTTAATGGTAATTGGTAAACTATTTAAACAGGAAAGGAATATGATAAAAAGCTTTTAGAAAATTCAGTTTAGAGAAGGTGTTCCCCTAAATCGTATGTTAATGTTAGGTATATCACAACCATATTAAAAAGGTGTGAACGAAATTTCCTACATACTTTTTTTGAGCACAAAACTACAGTGTCATTATTTCTTTCGAATTTTCAAATGCCAAAAATTAACCTAAATACAAAGACCGTCGATTCACATAGAATTGTTTTTTGTTTTCTGCTTAGTTTTGTAGACTTATACGCTCTGAAAACCTCGACAGAGAGTTCATCAAAATACCTTAGTTTCTTATCGAATCATAGAATTTAATTTGTTATTATTAATTTCAAAAAATGGTTATCCTATAATCTCCTCTTTGTGATACAAATAATTACTGTTGATTTGCCAGCATTTAATTGTAAACAATACTTACTGCATATCTGATAAGCCCTATTTAAATCATAGTTCAAGGCTATAATCGCGTGGTTAGTTTCACAGGAAAAAAATGGGAACTATACACACTTCAGAAACTCGTTTGTTAGATAATATTCAAAAAATATTTTTCCAAAGTCCTTACCACCAAATGTTAAGACGTTCTCTGACGCATTTGTTATTAAGCTTTTTTTCTTAAAGTGCCAAGAATCCATTAAGCAACACCCTATATATTTATTTATTTTTTCGTGAGTACGTCGTCTTTGATAAATTGTAAGTCAAGTTAAAATAAATAAAAAATAAATTAAAAAATAATAAATATTAATTAAGTATATAATTTACTAATAATAAAAATTTTTCGTTCTCCGTGTTGTGCATGGCTGTTTAAACAAATTGTCGTATCATAATAATATAAATGTTCTAATTTTATAATAAATAGGAGTATTAACGAAACGCGTGAGAGGGTGGGGCTTTGTAAACTCATTGTATGTTTCTTTATTTAATAAATTAATTAACCTAACCATCAACGTATGCATTGTAAAATAAGAATAATTAAAAATGAACTACATTCTCTTAATAAAATACGACAAACTTCCTATAGTTTTGTCCAATTTAAAAAATATATCAAACTGAGATTAAGCAATTAGAATTAGAATATGTTGGTGGGCGGTATCATGGATTGTGAGTGTTTGATTGGTTTCAGATCCTTGCTCAGGCGTCGAATGCACCGAACCTGAAGTATGTCAGTTAGATGCGCAAAGAAATCCTGTATGTCGGTGCGGCGATACTTGCCCTTTGGAATTTACCCCTGTTTGCGGTTCGGATGGAAAAACCTATTCGAACGAGTGTACTTTACGACAAGAAGCTTGCCGAACCAGAAAAACTCTCAATATTATTTACAGAGGAAAATGCAGTTCAGGTCCTTAAATTTTCATTTCCTATATAAGTTTTTCTTATTGCGATTTCGTTTTTTCAATTTTTTTTTTTTTTTGAGTTTTTGTTATTCCCGAAGGCAATCAATTTTAAATCGCACGAAAGTCGGCGGAAAATCCGCGAAAATTGGCGGGCCTTGAAGAAATTCGACCAAGTTTTAACCAGGATTAATTTGTAATGCCTTCAATTATTAGGCGGGGAACATCATCCCGCCTCGATAAGAAAAACGGTTTAACGCCTATTTTCCAAACTGTATTTCGATTTAAATTTAATTCTAATTTGTGTTGTCTATGACTACTTTCCTGATTGAATTTACTTTGGGTTCGCCAAAGTACTTTTGTTTCCTCCCTTTAAAGTTGGAATTTGTTATTCGACGCGGTAACGATAAAGCAACGACTTTCGTTTCATTATGAGGCCGCTTGCGACTTGCAAACTAAACCTCGATTTATAAACTTCAGTTTACGGAATAATACATAGTCATTGAGTTGGTATACTTTTAACTTCCTCAATAGACCGTTGCCTATTCAACTATTCATGGGATTGTTGAGTGGCACATCATATTGTTCTCCCTATAGATTTTCTCCTAAAGTTGTGTGTTTGTGTTGTGTTGGGTTGAATTTTTTTGGGATTTGGTTTTAATCGGTTCTGAACTTTTTAATCAAAAATTTTTTTGTTTATTAGATCAATATGTAGGTTAAAAAAAAGAAATAACCAAATCAACACTGACAATAAATAAAAAGCAAAAAAATACTAAAAATTTTGGGAGGTCTTGAAATGAGATGAAATTACTTTTTATAAAACTTTTGGATTCCTCCTGCGTCGGTTTTGGTTGAGTCGAACTAGCCAACGTTTCGCCAATCATCCTGTTGGCTTCTTCAGAGCTTCACTGAAACTGGCTCACATTTTACTCTGTACCTGGTTATATATTATTTGAGGGAGGCGGAGCTAAATGAGGGGCATAAACACCATCTCAGATGACTGATTCCCATATTGGTGACGGCTAGAGATCTGACTCGCGGTTAAGATTGTTTGGTTCCTTATAGATGTCTATATACTCTCGGATTTTTCGTTGGTAGAAGAACTAATTACATGCAAGAATTTTATTTTTATCAAATAAAATTTTATGCCCGGTTTCATGAGTGTGTTCCGCAACAGCGATGTTCTTTGAGCCTAGTTGATATTTTTCGTCCGGTCTCTCCAATGTATTCTTTGCCGCATATGCATGGAATGCTGTAAACTCCTGGCGTCTCAAATGGAATTTTGTTTTTAACGGGTCGAAGAAGAAGTCTGAAGAAGAAGATTTAAGGATGTGTTCCATAGATGACGTAGGATCTTTTTTAAGTTGACGATATGATCCGCCTGTAAGAATATCTTGAATCTTTTCCCTGATATTCATTTGTGTTCCTGACCACCGGTAGCATTTCCTTTATCTACTTTTAGGATTACGATGTCAGGATTAGATTTTAGAGATTTTAGGGTAATGCGTTCAGTCTTTGCAATATTAGATTTAGGGGGTCTTGATTTCATAAGGATTTTCCAATAGTAACGAAACCGAAAGCAATCCCACACTTGCCACTGTTGCCCTTCCTTATATTCAAAACATCACTGACCACGTATCAAAAATTCTAAAGAGATATAACGTCAAAACCAAATTTACCACTTGTCCAAAAATCTCTCAACATCTTCGATCCGTCAAAGACAAAATTCCATTTGTGATGCGATGCGAATAGATTGGAGAAACCAGACTAAAAATATCTACTAGACTAAACGAACATGAGAGAGCCTTAAGACTAAGACTGGTCATAAAATTTTATTCGATAAAACTAAAATCCTTGCATATAATCAATTCATCTACCAAAGAAAAATCCGAGAGTCTATAGAAACTATAAGCAACGTAACAATCTTAACCTGTCACCAGTATGGGAATCAGTCATCCGAGACGGTGTTTATGTCGCTCATTTAGCTCCGCCCCCCTCAAACAGTATAAAAGCAGGTACAGAGTAAAATGCGAGCCAGTTTCAGTTAAGCTCTGAAGAAGCCAACAGCATGATTGGCGAAACGTTAGCTAGTTCGACAAAAACCGACGCAGGAGGAATTCAGAAGTTTTATAAAAAGTATTACAGAAGCATGTTTAAGTTACTTTGAAAAAAATATATATTAATCTGATATATCATGTATTATCTCGCCAATGGATGTATTTGGACGCTTTGTATACATATTTTTGAAAAAATCAACCATGTTTGATAAAATTCGTAAAGTAGGGTATAGAACGCAAACCCGATTTCCTATACCAGTAGCAAATTTAATATAATATGAATAAAAGTAGCAATTGCTTCTGCTATATAAACAATTGATGGTAAATTTTGTCCGGTTTCTATCCTAAAATGGCAGAATTTTTAATGTGAAAGCTTACAAAGTACGCAAGGAGGAACTATCGGATTGTATCGTTTTAATCGTGAAAATGTGCAGGGGCTTACAAACTATTTCCTGGAACCAAGCGGTGAAAGACGTGGTGGAAATTTATCGGCTTAGACAAATTGAGAAGTTTCCTTCGTGTCTTCCCGGACCAAATTCCTATTCATCATACCAGTGTCTTCAAAACTTGCGAGTAAGGAAAACTTTAAATAAAATTCTCCAACTGTTATACTTAACTTAAAAATAAGATGTTCCAAATGCTATTCTTAGAGACAAAAAAGTTGCTTGTAGTTTTTTGAATATATTTGTTATTTTTGTTATTTAAATGATTGATGGAATTATACGTTGTTTATATTTGAGATTCTATTCTAATCACGATTATGTACGGATTTCAAGTTTAACGATAGAATATTTTCTTAAACACAAGATTTCTTTCTACGCTGAAGTAGTAGTTTTTCCCATTGTTTCTATTGAAATCATATTGTTTTTAGTTTTTGGTTCATGTTGCTAACTTTCTTCGCTATTTGGTTGTAAGACACATCGAAAATTCCTTTGTAATTGTTTATATTTTTCCTTTTTTATTTCGGGAAATACTAATTAAAAAAAATTATTGACCCGCGATAATTGATTGCTTTTATTCTTGAGGCTCTTCACTAACGTCCGACATATTGCGAATTATATATTTCTTACACGATTATTACTAATCACTGTCAAGACGCTGCGCTGACACTTTCTTTAGTGAAAAGCGATGTGCTTAATGATCGTCGCAAACGGGCCGTGTCTCTAGCTGATAGGGAATATCACAAGGTGTCGAATGTTCAAAGTGTCGAAAATCCCGAACATCGTTCGGTCCCTTTCTATCTGCAAATTTGATTTTCATACAGGGGCTTGCGAGAAAACTGGCTCATGCCAAGCTTTTGTCCCGTAGTGTAGAACCAAACTAATATCTAGATCACTCGGTTATTCCCAGAACTCTAGTCAAGTCTTCCAGTTCTACAATTATATTCGATTGCCACCACCTCTGCATCGAGCTACATACTGAGGTGAAGGAAATTAATAAAGCACCTTAGAAATTTAAAAAATTGCATTAACACATTTCGACAAATATTTTAATTTATTTTCCTTGTTCCAGGTTTACTCCTTTCTCTCTTAGACATGCTTGCAACTCCTGTCTTGTATTTGATCCTTCAAGTGTTTATGATTGTGTTGTCACACCCTTCTCTTCAATCTTTGCTGATGCTTGATATTTTTTCTGTGCAGCTGAGATATCTGTTTGCAATAACTTGAAGATATATTTATTAACCTACAGACCAAAGTGTTAAATAATGTTATAAAATACGGCGTTTTTGCACTAAACATGCAAAATGCCTTTTTGTGAGCTACTATAAAATATTAAATCAATTTTACGTCGTTCCGTTACACCTTTTGCGTATATAACTAAAACTAATTGTTAAGAGATTCTCTTCCTGCTCTGCATTTTAACCTACCTACCCTATGAATTTACTACCCACAATTAGCCGAACTCCTGTTTAAAAAAGAAATAAAATGTTAACATAGTAAGATCATTTAAAATAGGTTTTAAATTTGATATCCCTATAAAAATCGCTGGTTCTAACCTAACCATTTGGTCACTCGATCACATATAATTTTCTCTGTACGTCACGTCTCAGCTGTTAGCGGGTCCTTCGTTACAAACGACCCCCCCTTAGCCGAACTCGACCGCTCAGGATTTTCGACAATTTGAACATTGGATAATTTGCTACCATCTCCTTCCCACTACTTTGGTACCGAACCGCCTTCGGCACCGTAATCTTGACTTGTCGGAATTCTCGAACATTTTGACTTTGACCCTGGATTTAGCTCAAAATTGATTTTTTCATTACTTTGTACACGTTTAAATACAAAAAAATCGTAACCGAAACAGAACCTGGTTACCTGAAATTTAGAAAAACTAAATGTATTATAAGTAATTACAATTTTAATTAGCCTCTAAATATAAATAGGTTTACTTGTTTTCCTTTTTTTTTTTAAATCGCAATGTTCAAAATACAACGTAATTATTCCATTGACCATTTACAAAAACAATTAACAAGGTTGGCAAACCTAGCACAGAAGTATAAAACCATATAACATCTAAGTATAAGTATAACGATAAATTCCACTTAAAATCTTGAATAATGTCATAATTCTATAGAACAATGAAATTTATTATGCTGGTGGTACTAAAAATACGAATAGGTATCGGGTATAGGTGTAGTTTTGGAATTTGCTGCAAATTCAAATATGTCAAAAGTCAAATTTGAACAAAGTTAGGATGTAAAAAAAAATGACCAAAATGGTAATGGTTGTCTCCATACTCACAAATAACGATTATGTCATATTCCATTCAAATAAAACGAGCTAACTAACTAGCTGAATAATTTCAAAATAATTTTAAAATATATTTCCTAAAAATAAGAAATTTTTTCATCATGGAAAAATATACGTTTGATATATGCCCTAAATTTAAATAATTTAAATATCCGAATCTACACAAATGACGTTTATTTATCATACAATCACCATTATGAACCCAAGCAAAATATTAGAACTCAAGAATCTCATTAGGTACTTTTTACAAAACTGGATTCCTCCTGCCCCGGTTTTTGCTGAGTCGAAATTGCTGACGTTTCGCCGATCATCCTGTTGTGTTCATCTAAAACCAAAATTATGGAAACGCTACGTCGATGATACTTTTGTTATTTGGCCTCATGGTCAATAACCCTAGTAGATTTTGTTAGACATTTAAACTCGATACACCCTAACATACGTTTTACCATTGAGTTGGAAGCTAATAATAACCTTCCATTCTTAGATACCATAATCAAACAATATATAAGCAAGTACAGAGTAAAATACGACCCAGTTTCAGCCAATCTCTGAAGAAGCCAACAGGATTATTGGCGAAACGTCAGCAATTTCGACTAAGCAAAAACCGACGCAGGAGGAACCAAGAAGTTTTGTAAAAAGTATTACAGTGGCCTGTGGAAGTTTCATTGAAAAAAAATCTCATTAGGTATTTTTGAGATTTTTAATTATTTATTTAAAAAAAAATTAGAGAAACCTTTCTAATATATTGGACGCCCCACAGATAAAAATTTAATTAAAAGCAAGAGTGTAGATATTAGTGACCAAATGAATATGAAAAATGCACATTCTTTTAAAAAATAATTCTTTATAAAAATATTACCTTTTTATACGCCTTTGAATTAGCAAATAAGGATTTTGTTGTCAAACATTAGAAAATTTTTAAAAAATAACAAGCGCAGGTTTTAGGGAAAAAAACGTTTTTTTTGGGTATTTTCTTCTTTAATTTTGAAAAGAGGCTTGCTAATTATTTAAAATATTATTTATTGTCCATAGAAACAAACATTTTATGACCTGTGACGTTTATTGTCACACACCTTTTGTAGGTTATCCCAATTAGATTTCTCTTTTGGTGAAATAAAATACGTGTTTATTTAGTAAGTTATCTATTTAGTTAAACATTTTATTTAAGTTGGTAAATATCTTAAAACAAAACTTTAGATATTTATTTTTCTGAAAAAAAACCAGTAAACGGCGAACACATACACGAAAAGGTACGCTTCTGTCATTTCGTCGATGGCGATCTGGCTAATTCCCTCTTCATCTCTGTCATCTTCCCTACTACTGCTATCACCGTCCCCCTTAGAGTCAGCCATTGTGCACTATATTCCTGCAACCACATTTAACTCAGTAAGCATATTAATAGAAATGAAAAGCTCAAGCAATAACAGCCACCGCGTTTCTTGTAGCATTATAACCTTTCTATTTTATGTCAAGACGTGACTTACTAACCTCGAAATAGGTGACGCCACAATCTAGCTTGGAATTCTGGACGTCAAATTGAACCGACAGCGATCGACAAATTTGATTGAGGGACCTAAAAAATGCAAGGCGAGATTTATAATCGACATCGACGCTATACCTTTATCCTCCAGATAAAACATTCAGCGATAACATCAATGATATAATATCAAATTACATTTTTACCTTGAACGGATCGTTGATAAATCAGTTGCAAGAAGAAGCCATGCCAACATTCCCAACGAAATGAAGTTTCTGTTAGTAACGCCTATATGGCGTTCAAAGCTTTGACGGATAAAAAAATATCTTCTTTGCCGACGTGGCGCAATCTGTACAACAGAAGGTAAACTTGACCGTAGCCCCGCTAGATGTCGGGCCACGAACGCGGTCCGCGCACCTAGTCACAGCTATTATTAAAAACTCACTATAAATGGATTTTACTAGAATTTTAAAGTTATCAATTTTTGTATATTTCATTAAAATGTTACTTTGTTGCACCGTGTTGCAAATTTTGTCATATTTATATTTTAAATATAATTAATCCTATCACAAGTTTTTTCGTTATTTTTAAGAGTTAAAAAGCTATTTAGCATGACATACTTACCTTTTTAGTTTCTCCTGTCACTTTTGGGGACAGTAATATTTAAAACTATTCCAACTTTTTTGAATACGCAATTTCGCACAGTAAAATGGATTGGGAAATACGCAGGAAAAAGGCGATATTATTACTGAATTTTTTATTAAATAAAAGATACAAAACAATGATCGAAAATAAATGTTCAAGTCGATTAATTTATTAGCAATTTGACGCGGTCCATCTACATTGTAGTTTCCTCAATGAAACTTGGAGTCCAAGTTTTTGGTTCACTTGCGTATTAATTTTCAGTGCCGCTCAACGTTGCCAGTTCAACGTTTTTGGTTGCTAGTGTTGGTTTGAGTTTTGCGTTTGCTAAATACGAAATTATTTGTTTTCGAAATTTCAACTTTCATACACATTGTGAAATCTTTATTTCTCATGCAACGGTAGTCAGGACGCGCACACAGACCACCGACAGGTTACCGGGATCTGTGTTACCGACAACATTCACAGAGTATAAAAATTAAAATTACGTTGCTACATTATGAATGTTTGTTTTTAATTTTTGACTCATTTTTGAATCCGTCATCAAGATTATAGTTTTTTTTACACCTAATCTGAAAAAAAGTAGAAGAATAATAATAGGGACGTATTAAATTTGATTTCTTTCCATAAAAAAAACTAATTTCTGCCATGCTGCCAATTACTATTAGTTACTTTTTTTATAATTAAAATAAATGTAAAAAATAAAAAGTGATAAATTTTACACAAACACGAACCGAACTGAAGTTTATAAATCTAGCACGTGTCTTTTTGTTAATATAAAGTTGAATTAATTTTAGGTATCAACCCTTGTCACAGCGCACGTTGCACATTCGATCAGGAATGTTCGATAAACAAATACGGTATCGCCGAATGCGTTTGTCCACCCGAATGCGAGCCGATCATGCGTCCGGTATGTTCGAGCGACGGTCGGGCATTTCCGTCCGAATGCGAGCTCAAACGGGCGGCGTGCTTGACTCGCACCCCGATTAAAATCGCTTACGCCGGTGTTTGCGGCGAGAGAGGTCCGTGTAACGAGCACAAATGCCAATATGGCGCTACGTGTGTCGAAAGATCCGGCACGGCACACTGCGAATGTCCCGTTTGCCCTTCGGAATTCGACCCCGTATGCGGCTCCGATGGCATCTCCTACGGAAACGAGTGTAAGCTTAGACTAGAAGCTTGCAAGCATAGGAGAGATATAACGATCTTATACGGCGGACCTTGCAGTAAGTCTTTATGGATTACGCGACGGTTTTATGAGCGCAAATAAACACGAGAAAGTCGCTTTAGGTAAACCATCAACCCCTTAGTTTCATGACCGGCGCGGCGTTGCGTTCCACTCGATCCGTAAGGGTTTCTAATTAAGTAGGGAAGCGAGTCGATGTTGAGAATTAAATATCGTCGTAAGTAGACGATCGTATACATTGTGGCCAGTCGACAGCGTTCCTTCGTCGAAGATATCTTATCTCTGGTTCCATAAAAATGACTAATAGGTAATACAAGAAATCTACAGTCCGACTTGTCAAAACATAAATTTAATTTAAAAACATTTTTCATGTTTCGTATAAATTGACACCATGCAAAGTACAAACATTTCTATCGCTGACTCTATATTATAGCAACAGAATTCCACTGTCTACTTTCTAATTATCGTTAGACATTTCTCTTCTATTCATAATTTTGGTTTGAAGCTGCAGCTTGTTATGGAAACTTTGTTGATGTAGTTTGATTATTCTAATACCTAACTATTTGTTAATGAGGAAGATAATTTTTTGGCTTCCAACCAAAAAATCTAAAACGTAGTATAAATAATCGTAATGTTTTTTCATCCATAAAAAGTTTAATGCTAACTATACTATTAGTAAAACTAATTAATATTCTTTCAATGAAAAAACTAATTGACCGTGAAAAGAATAGTCTCTGTGAATGCGAATTTGACTATAAAAACATTACCTTTTTTTTTAATTGCACTATTTTTTTAAATCTTCGATGCCGAACTTTTTTTCGTTAAAATTGTCTAATCTTTTAACATTTTCCTTTTCCTAAAAAATATCTTCTTTGCCGACGTGGCGCTATCTGTACAACGGAAGGTAAACTTGACCGTAGCCCCGCTAGATGTCGGGCCACGAACGCGGTCCGCGCACCTAGTCACAGCTATTATTAAAAACTCACTATAAATGGTTTTTACTAGAATTTTAAAGTTATCAATTTTTGTATATTTGATTAAAAAGTTACTTTGTTGCATCGTGTTGCAAATTTTGTGTTCTTTGAATTTTAAATATAATTAAACAATTCTATCTCAAGTTTTTTCGTTATTATAAGAGTAAAAAAGCTATTTAGAATGACATACTTACCTTTTTAGTTTCTCCTGTCACTTTTGGGGACAGTAATATTTAAAACTATTCCCACTTTTTTGAATACGCAATTCCGCACAGTAAACCGGATTGGGAAATACGCAGGAAAAAGACCATGTTATTACTCAATTTTTTATTAAATAAAAGGTACAAAACAACGATCCAAAATAAATGTTAAAGTCGATTAATTTATTGGCAATTTGACGCAGTTCATCTACATTGTAGTTTCCTCAATGAAACTTGGAGTCCAAATTTTTGGTTCACCTGTGCAGTAATTTTCGATACGCAGTACAGTACTGTCATCAGAATCGGAAAAAAGGAATCTTCACTTATCCTTTCAGGGTCGACTTCGCTGTAATCATCCGTCATCAAAATTATAATTCTTTTACACCTAATCTGAAAGAAAGTAGTAGAATAATAGTAGGGCCGTATTAAATTGGATTTCTTTTTATAAGAAAACTAATTGTGCAACTGCCAATTACTTTACAATTAAAAATTGCATATTTTTGTCAATTTTTTTTTAAAAATTAAATCATCCTGCCAGGACCACATTGTTCCCGCTGTAATAACGAAATGTAATCCTGTGAGGAATTTAAAATGAAATTAAAATCGTATCGGTTGCGAAAAAAATTGTATCTGCAGCCTATTTGCCGATCAGGTTGGATTTCCAACGTGCACAAGTTCCGGTGTCACATGTGGGGTATACAAAATGCAGCGCACGCATAAACACACAATTATTTTAATGTTACGTTGTGCAGTTATTAAAATGTTTATTTGCAAAAATCTATTGATGTATTATTGGTATATTTTGAAAATCAAGCGATTTCTGTTTTTACCTTGCAGATTTCGGATTAATTAATTATTTATTATTAATTTATAATAATTACAATAACTAACAATATGATTTTTTGTTAATACGAAGTAAAGTTTCATCCTGTTTTGCGCATCATCTCCGTCATAATTGATAATTACCTGTAGCTGTTTATACTTTAAATATTTCGAAAATAAATATTTTAACGTTACAAAGAAAGAGCGAATATAATTTTGTAAATTTTGAAATATTTTTTGAATTTTGAATATTAATATTTTGAGCTTAGGATTCTTCAGTTTATATATTTTATATTAATATAGAATATATTATTAATTATGTTATTATGAATAGGGGATGAAAAAGTGATAGCAATCATGACCTGAACTGTAACTCTTCTTTTTTTATTTAATTTTGTATTTAATTTCATTAAAACTAATACATTCCCAGAACCGTTTCCTTTTCTAAATGGTTTTTGGTTAATTCTCACTAGGTTGCTATTTTATCATATTACATTGCATTTCATTTCACTTTGGAAACGATATATTTGACATTTCCTATACGCATTAGGAACCATTACTTGTGATGGCAAAGTTCATTTAGAAAGGCAGCAATTAATATTTCCGGTACGTTTTCAACGAGCCACCTTGTATTTATCGAACTCCCGATACTCTCGGTGATGGATTCGAGTAATATAATTTTTTTTATCGAACACAAAACATCTCAACGGAAAGTGGCGACGATAATAACGCGGAAATGTATTTCATTTGTCAATTCAGATGTTAAATGCTGCGTTAGTAAAATAGAATTACCGTGTTCGTATACTCAACGTCTCAACGCCCGGCAACGGTAAGAACTCTCTCTTATTCCCCAGACCTGGGGATCTGTCGACGACAAATCTTTACTAATGGCGGTGCATTCATAGTTATTCCTTACGTTTTGCCGGGAAAGAATATTAAACGCGCTACCGCTCCGTTAAATAAAATAAATCCCGCCGACGTTTTCTTCTAAAAACGGGAAAATAAATAGCGGAAATTACATGATTGTCGGCTATTTTCGGGCTGGTTTTGATTTTTTTTTCCGTTGGCGAAAATTCGTTTTTAGAAGCCGTTCGGCGAGCGGCAAAAGACGAGGGGGTTTCATTATTTAGTACACTAAACACTTCTCTCCGAAATTATTCACGAATACCTCAAAAATAATCACTAAATAAAACTTAAATTACAACCAATTTCCACTAATTATCAATGCCATTATCATTGAACGATCTTGATTCTATGAAGTACTACAGGCAAGTAAATTAAATTTTTTAAATATTTTTTAAAAATTTGGAAATAATATGAACAAGAGGAAAAATATTACGGAAGTTCAAGCACCTTAAAAATTATCGAAACCCGCATCATTTCTCTCTTGTAATACAGTTTTGAAAACTCATATTAGGCGAAAATTTTGCATTTAGGATCTTGTAAGAATCCTTTCAAAACTTTATAGTTTTTATTCATATTTGATAATTTCAGTCATTTTATCTAAGAGGTCCATAGAAAATGAACTCCATCTTTACTCTATCAGCGTCACTTTTTTCCTTTCAATCATACATAACACACGTGTAACTTAAAAAACGACATATTTCCTTTTAATTTTCCTATGAACTTTTCCAATATAATCTGTTATAGTACATCATATTTTTCTATTTCTACAAAACTTCCTTTAAACTATCTCCTAATTACTTCCAAAATTTCTTTAAATTTCCCAATTTTACTCACTAATTATCAGGTCAAGCTCAAGAAATTAAATTAGCCCGGAAGGGTAATTCACGCTTGAAATCTGGTGTACCAGCTCTGTGAAATTCGTGGAATCTGTGAAATATTGGTTATCTGTGAAATCATCCACTTAGCACTTTTTTAAAGTGGGATTCGCTGCCTTTTTATATTTGGTTGGTTGGTTGCAATTTTTTTCATCAACATTTAATAGTAACCATAACAAACAAACTTAAAAAACAGCCGGTTTAAGTTTGAGTCCTGTTTCCCAATTTTTGAAGATACGCTTTATTTATTTACTTTTTATTAATTCTAATAGTTTTTTAATTACAAAATAGTACAAAAAAATTCCACATAACCTAAAAAATGTTTTTCAAAATCGGTGAAAATTATTTTGTGAAATTCACAAAATCGTGCGTAAAATCTGTAAAATCTTATAGTTGTGTGAAACCTAGTGTATCAATTTTCGATTGTGATTTGCCCTAAAACGAATGAGAATTTCACAACGTTTTAATTTTGCATAACTATAGACAAACGCATCGGATAAATCGTCGATGGTACACTAAAAATAAGATAGGGATATAATTGTTAAACACTATATACGTTACTCGATGCATTGTTTTTGCAGATGGATGTGAAAACAAGAAGTGTGATTTTTACTCGACGTGTGAGAGTGATGGTGCTACAGAAGGTCGTTGCGTATGTCCAGAAAAATGTTCTGAAAATAAGGTATGTGATTCGTTTTTATCAATTACGGGGGAGATCTATAATTGATAATGAAACATCGTATATGCGAATACAAAACTAAACAAGGCATCCCGTGAATAAATCATCATTATTTTCATAATAAAATTTGGCAGTTTGCAATTTTAAATTAGTTTATTTATTTTTAATCTCTAAGTGAATGACAAACAATATTTTTGCTTTTAGGGCGACCAATAATCTGATCACGCGACAAATGGAATAATGAACAATTGCATTCCATACACATCGTGTCTCATAATTAAAAATTAATGGGGGTGAATAATTCTAGCTGGACTTTGAATACAATTTCTGAACGATGCTGCATTTTTCAAATAATTACAAATTAAATATGAATTAAATGTTTTTTGACTCATTTCGTTTTGCACTAAATTCATCAGGTGATCAGGAATTTTCATTAAATTGATTGCGAGTGATTCCTTAGAAAATTCTGCATTTTGATTTTACAATTGGATTAGAATTCACGAACAGGGTTATAAAACACTCTGCATAAAAAAGTTACGTAAATAAGTTTTTATTTTTTTGTGCAGAAACTCGATTGCGGAAAAGTTTTTCGATTAATAATGTGTGGGTATGAAGCAAAGTCGAATACAAGGCAAAACAATATATTATACATGGCGTTTGGTTTGGGACTTATTTTTATATATTAACTTTTTTAAAGCATTTGTGTATTTTTTTTAACTTTGAATAGCTCTATTTATTTAGTTGCCTGATATACAGCAGCACCTTTAACTATTTACTTCTCTCCAAACTCATTATCTTTTCATAAAAACTTATATATATATATATATATATATATATATATATATATATATATATATATATATATATATATATATATAGATGCATTGATCGCCTTTCCCCCACTGCGACATTATTATCAATATTAGCCATCAAAATCCGCAAATGGAGATCCTCTGGCATCTGTGACAGAACATATGTAGACAAATTTCATGCGGTTTATACGTAAACGTACGTGCTTCAATCCGGATACCGCATTCGGGTCCACATTTTCGTATTTTTCAAATGGTTCCGGTTTAATTTGGAACACGCCGAACTTGTCGTATCGTCAAAAATTTAACAAAACACTTGGCGACTTGGCCCGATTCCGTTTTTCAAAACAACGCCACGGCTTTGTGTTGTTAAGCCTCTAAAAAAAGCAGTGAACGCGATCTAAACTAGAACGGCTCGATGAAAAAGTGAGGCAAATTTTCCAATAGAGAAAGGCAACATAGTAATGGGTATTGTTATCTTTCTCTTGCTCATTTATGGTTATTCTCGCCGTTTGATTACATTATTTACCGATACATTGTTGTCAAAATTATTTAGTCATTGGAATTTCACTATCAAACAATATTTTGTTTAGAACATTTTGTATACAATAAAATTTGTATTTTTTCTGTAAAAAACTGTAAACTAAAAAAATAGCACTATTTGTACTTTTTCAGGAGTATTATTTCAAAGACAATCAAAATTTATTTGATTAAATTTGTACATTCAACCAATATTTTTTATTTCTTGGAAAATTTAGAATGTTTGTGATAACTTAGTCAATAGTTAAAGAATATCAAAGTACTGATTTAATTATAATTTCATTTAATAATACTCACAAACATTTGATCTATATTGCTTATATTTACATAAAGTTTTAGATTTTTAACAAATATGAAGTGTTTTTTATATTTTTTAGATTTGTGGGCCAATTATTGTAAAATTTACAGTGTAGTTTTAGCAATACATTTTTGATTTTTATTCATTTCAAGCCTCCTATTTAGTATAGAGTATCAAATAAAAAAATTTAATTTAGCATAGAAATATTTTATATATTTTATTTATTTCGTATAAGTATTTTGTGACGGAAATTACACTTTCTTTTATCGGTTATATATACATTTTCGCCACCATATGCGACACAAGAATTTACCATTTTAAAAAATATGTATGTATTTACACCAGCATTTAAATTGTTACCATGAATTTTAGGTACACCTGATTTTCAAGGTCAAAAATAGTCAAAATATTTCCTAAAACTTAGGTATAAAAGATAAGGGATCGAAATATTTGTCCAAAGTACCCATTGGCAAACAGGTAAAAAATTTTGCAAAAATTATTACTTATTACAGTTATCCGCTATTAGTATTCACATGTATGTTAATAGAAAGAATCATCCCCATTACTACCCGTATCGCTCTAAATAAAATCTGCCCCATTCCGGAGTTCACTGGGGCCAAGTGCCAAGAAAAAAAGGTGGTCGGGGTGGGGGGTCGAATATCAATAACACGTCACGCCGGGTGAGATTTACAGTTAGCGTCAGCGGTTAGAAATGACGTTAATGAAAAATAATTCCTTTCGTATTAAACTATGTGCATTTGAGTCACGTACGGATTTATTGAAATTTTCTATTTATATTCCGGAACGGTTGCCATATTACCGGCTAGTGCATAGATGATGTTAAACACATTTGTTCCCTCAGCTCAACAACGGTACAGTGTGCGGCACAGATGGAGTTACTTACGCAAACGAATGCGAATTACGGAAGAATTCCTGCAATACTAAACAATATGTCCTGGTTGCCTACAAAGGAAATTGCGGTAAGGCTCCGGCCCTTTCTAACGTCGGTGTTTAATTTAACATGACTCGATTTTGCCAGATAATTTCCGTCTGGATTACACGCGTTACGGCTCTAAGCGGCTCGACGTGTAAATTTTGCTTTGCTTCCAAGAAAAGAATATTTTCTACCCTTTTGCTTCAGATACCACGCATATATATGACGTAATGCTATGGCCGGACTTAGGCAGATTTTGTAAAAATTTAAAGTAAGGTAGGGAATACAATATGCCCGCCCCAAGCAATTAGTTTTTGTTAATCAGAAATTTTAAATAATTAGTAAAGCCAATTACTTCCTATAATGGTTAAAGCTTAAAAACAAAATGGTTGTCATGCTAAAAATTAAATTTTGCATTATCCAAACAGAAAATAACAACATACTGTTGGCAATATAGCCAAGTATACAAAATCAAAAATATATGCATTGCTGAAATAGTTATTTATTATAAATTTAAGAAAAGTTGGTACACACAAACACAACCAATTCTGCTCAGCTACCTTTTTTTTTACTTTTTTGATCATTGCTTTACGTGTCTATTACAAGAGCTTAACTTTAGATTTGTTACTGATTTGCCAGTTATTTCCGGAGTTTCCAAGGTTTCTGTTATTGAATTATTCTCAGGTTCTTTCGAAAGTGATCCCATCTGCATCGTAGTTGGATAGATAAGTTTATAATTTATTCCAACAGGGTATCACATTCTGAATCAAACGTCCAAAAATGGATGCATATTTTCTTCTTCTGAGCTATTATAATCCAAAGGGCTACTTCAAGTTGCTACTTTTTGGAATTTGGATGGCCCTGCTTTGGTAGTTTCGACAATAGTTTCCCATTGACTACACCTGCTAATATGCTCATGGGCATATTGCTGCCTCTCACGATAGATATATCTGAATGAATATATTGGTTGTACAAGTCTATTGTTACATGAGTAATCAGCAAACGCGTATATTCGATGCTGCCATTTTTTTATAAAACAACGAAGCCACATCCGGTACATATTGTTTTCGCTTCCTTATTAACAAAAAACGATTTTCATTTATACTCGAACTTTTTTGGATACTTATTTATGTGCACTTTTATATTTGAATGTGGTTGGGAAGTGGACCCTGTAAAACGTAAAAGCGCAAAAAAAACTCGCGTCTTACTAAAGAATATCTATTTTATTTTATTTATTTTAATTATAAATCAATCAAATTCATTAAGTGCTAATAATTATGCTGCGTAAAAGTATGGAATTATTACAGATATCGAACTGACATTTATTAGCTACTTTTTTGTCCCAAAATTATCTTGATATTTAAGGCAAGAACTAATACGAATTTAAGCATTTTAACAATGGTCTACAAAATTCAAAGCGATTCGGATAAAATTCTTTAAAAAGATTGCGATGGGTTTATTTTTCTTTTCCCTCTGTTGTTTCTCTCTCTATGCAAATTTTCTTCTTAATACCTCCTTAAAAATTAGTTAAGCTGCATTACATTACTTAAAATTTTAACGTGATGCAAATATGTTTAATGCTTCAGACAATGTTGTAAGTGCTGAATATCGCCGGAGTATTTTAAACGCTCAGAGGTATCCGATGTGGTTTGTGCTATCTCTAAAAGTGTGTTAAATATGTTTAAGTTAACTCTTTATAATATAATTCGGTTACATTCGCATGTTACATTATTGTTTTCTCCCACCTTACGTCCCTTGCCTAAATGCCTTTTTTTGCATCACAACAGCAATTGTTTTGCTGTCTCTTTTGGTTGGACCTCTGTGCGTTTTCGAAGAAGACGTGAAAAAACGGAATTTATTATAATTCGCAAATTTCATTTCGATATCTCCAAAAATTTAAAATTTTACTGCCCGGGAATTTAAGAAAATTTGGTGCGTTTCAGTTAATGATTTGAATTTATTGTCCATCACAGTTGCTTCTAAAATTTTCTGCGATATTTTGTATACAATAAAAATTCTACATGCTTTTTTGGATTGTAATTGATCGGTGGACTCTTCATATACAACGTGTATATTATGCCGAATATTCGGCGCCGGCGACGAATATTCATGTTACGATAAAGTTCACTATTCGTCGTGTGTCTAATTTGAGCCGTCTTTTAGATTTATGCGAGAATGTGGATTGTAAATACGGTGCTCGATGTGATGCGGGTAACTGTGTTTGCCCGACAAATTGTAACGATTCAAGGATGGAGCCCGTGTGCGCGTCAAATATGCTGACATATCCGAACGAATGCGAAATGCAAAAGGCCATGTGCCAAGAGACATCCACCACCACCGCCACCACCACATTCACCACAACTCCGCTCAGTGTCGTTTTCTACGGAGATTGTCGTGAACGGTTCCCCATAGGCAACAGTAAGTTTCGCTTGGTCTTCTAAATTCTCTTCTGCTATTAACATCACGGTCTAACTTCGCATCTTCGCGGGAACGCAAGGATTTCGAATTTTGGTTCCGAATTTGTCCTTACGTTCCTTTAAGTAGACTTGAATCTAACAAGGATGGGTGCCTCTAACAGCTACAAGTTCTTCGGTCGCCACTACGTCCGCGCCCACAGAACTTGTCAGTCTACAACCGGATAATGCGATCCCTAACGTCAGTAGCAACGCTAAAGAAGCCTGTAGAGATATACATTGCGATTTCGAAGCGACTTGCGAAATAGGACCGGATAAATTTCCACGTTGTACTTGTCGATTTGATTGCGTTACTGCCGCACTCTTGTCGCCCGCTTTGAACAAACCCGTATGCGCTTCCGATCTAAGAACGTACCCGTCAATATGCGCGATGAAAGTGGAGGCTTGTCAAAGACAGGAAGAATTACGATTGAGACCTTTAGAGCTGTGCCAAGGTTTGATTAACTTAACGCCGTTCCCGTTAATTGTATTAATTCGAACGCTTTGCCATCGGTAAAGTTGCTTTTGTGTGTGAAAGCTTCCGGATTGCTAAGATAGTCTTTACTAGTGGCAAACCGCGTTTTAGAACACTCTGCATGTGAATTAGAGCACTTAACACGTTCTATATCTTCGCGACCGACTAAATATACGCGGTGCTACGGTAAAACGCATTATCCGGATAAATTGTACGGTTTTTTACGCTTTTAGACATAACCGCTTCGAACAATGTTCGTCTTAATGAACGCTAAGGTTATATCTCGAGCATTCGGCCACGATTCATTAACCCAAATTTCATCCAAATCGGTTAAAAACCATTAACAGATTTTTGTCGAATATTTGTTGGAAATAATAAAATATAAAAAGTCCAGTAATAAGAAAAAAATTATATCTTTAAAGGACCTCCTGATTATGGACGTAAATACTACCTGTCTGAGGTGGGGCAAATGGAATGGGGGTAGGTTGATGTCACACGGCATGTTAGACAATTGCCATGGACTATCGAAAGCTTCTTGCATAGAAGAAAGTGCTAGGTGCAAGTATTTTCATCTTATCGTCTCTTTAAAACCTTTTACATTCAATCCAATTCGAGAACTAAAAAATATTTAGTTAGATCCAGACGACATTTTAGTTGAATCTTAGACTCTGAAACTCTACGTGCAGACCTTCTCATTTTAATGTCAAATACTTCACATGTAACTTTTTCCTGCCATCGCGAGTATTTTTGATTAATAATTACTCATCAAAAATTCGATCGGTAAAAGATAAAGTTCCTCACGATACAGATGGTGCATGCCGAGCAATCAGCCCTCAGCTTCAGACAGCTCGCTGGTGTTTGACGAAACGTCAGCGGGACAGAGGAAGTAAGCTTTCAGAAACAAGATAATAATAGATACGGAATACAAAAATTCGAAAAAAAATCCACTGAGGCTAGTTGTGCGTGAACCCTATTTTGTTTTGATTGCCCCTATGTAATTAATTACTTACACCATCCAAACCTTTGAACACTCCGTGTGTTCAGACACCGATCCGTTATAGTGATTTTTACGGAAAACTTCAATTATCGCATTCGTCCTTCTCGTCTAGTATCGTCGGTGATTTCCCGGAAAACGTCGGACTAGAAGTCAATAAGGCGACATATGAAAGGAATCGAATTGGAAAAAAATGTTTGCTCTCGCCGAGGGCAAAACGATTTCAATCTCCTCTCTATGGATTAAGACTGTTTAATTATACCGGATGATGCGTTTTTACGTAGTATAGTATATTTATTTCCAGTTGAAGAATGAATGTTAGATTTACGTGCAACCAACAACGCTTGCGACGATTATATTGGTGTCAAAACAGTCATCGAAGAAGACACGAACCATTAATCAAATATCGTGCCTAAATGATGACCGCATTTTCATCAATTCGATGCACTGCAAGAGATCATCTACAGCATCATTCAATTCTTCTAATTTGCTAGAATTCGAATGAAGTTCATGGGTTGAAATGGAAGAACAAAAGGCTTTTCACCGTGCGCTAGTGGACAACGGGTATCTGTTGGCAGATGACCTAAATCCTTGGTGGGGGTTGACATCCTTTATCCTGCAATGCAAGAGGGTGGAACACGTTTTTTTTTTTCGAATTTCGGACAACAGAGGTGCTACCAAATCGACTGCGTCATTACAAATTTTAATGTATTTTTCTCGTTTCTTTTAATAAATGGCAATTTGTGGAAAATGCGTATTTTTTTTGTGTTGGTGTTTGTGCCCGGATAATAAAGAAATGAGTCGCGAACAATCCGAAAGTGTTCTGATAGGTCTAAGCGAAACCCTCTAAAATGGCCGAAAAACTGCGAAAAATTCATCGAAATTTTCTGTTCAGCAAAATTTTGGAGTATTTTTTGACACAATGGTGGCGCAATAATTGAAATATCCTTTACGCCGGATACTTTTTCTACCTCTTCGCCACCTCTGCTCTCCTGATCAAAATCGACAAAATTTGCGAAATCGGATAAAATTCTGCACAAAATCATATACTTACACAGCGCATCCACCACAAATTTAAAAATGTTCTAGAACGCTATCGCATTTTGTCACTTTTTTGCGATGTTGCCAGATTTGGCCAAATTTCCGGATCCACAGGAAAATGAAATAAATTTTCGTTATCGAATTTTGCCGGATTTTAGGAAATTTTGTACAATCCGGCAACGCCGCAAAAATTGTGCAACATGTTCTAGAATATTTTTAAATTTATGGTGGATGTGCCTATGTTAAAATACGGTGATTTTGTGCACAGTTTTATCGATTTTGATCAGGAAAGCACAAGTGGCAAAGAGGTATGAAAAATATCAGGAGTAACTGATTTTTCAAATCATTGCGCCGCCGCCAAATCGTCAAGAATAATTTCCGGAGAAATAATAATCCAGAGATTTTGTTTAAAATTGCCTAAACTTTGTCTATTTTTCATAGGGAAGCTGCAGCAGGAGTAACGAAATATTTTAAAATATTCTAGACAATTTCTCCGATTAAAATTAAAATTTGTTGATTTTTATTATGGAAATTCCTCCAAATGGCGCAAGCTTCGACACAATGAAACGCATTTTTTGCCCAACATCTATTTATTAAAATAACATTGAAATTTGCTGTAATAACAATTTAGTCTTCCGTTGCCTCGTTTGTTAACCGAGTCTGCATAGTCGAATGTTGCGGGAACTTAGGTCCCCGTTTGGGGAAGGAGTTTTTGATCATTTCCATTTCTCAAACAATATTTAAAACAAATAAATGCAAATAGTCAAGGAGAGTAGATAAGAGTGTGTGGGTAGTAGACGAAAATAGATTCGAGACTAAGTGGTAGTAAAGCAGAAGGGAAAAAGAGAAAATGTTTGATTTTTGTGTTCCTCTCTAGTTATTCCCTGTTGGGTGTGTCTTACTGTTGATTGTGCCACTTTGGAATATGCGTTGTAGAAGAAAATTTTGCAGCACTACTTTTGCAACCACTACATTTTCTGTGTCCACATTGACAGAGGGTACCTACGTTTCTGTTCCGAAATCGTATCTTCAGCAAGTTGTTCATCCCTTGAATCCACAGTACACTCACTGGCATTGCTGCTACACCTATGACCTGCTGGGCCTCACCACCCCTCCTTAACCACTTTGAAGGTTCTGTCGACGAGCGTATCTAACATATAAGGTTTCTCGGAACTGCTGCCTGCCAAAATAAAAATATCAATGAGTCAAAAATTTTAATTACGAATAACTTACAACCTACGAAATCGTAATAGTAAATAATTGTTGTTTGCATGATATAGCGTTGAGTATTCCAGTAGTACAGAAGAAGTTTAGGGGATGATTTTTCAACAGGAATGGAAGTGAAGCCTTGTAAAGGTGAAAAACCCGTAACTGACGCTACCACGGGCCGCGAACTGGATTGCGGGAACGGACCTTATAGGCAAGACTGTCCGTCTGGTACATATTGCCACCAAACCGCTAGATTTTCAAGGTGTTGTCACAAAGGTGAATGAAGCAGGCAATTGCGATTAAAAATTCAAATATTTCCGAATTTTTCTCGAAACGATATTTCACTAAAATTGTTTTAATTAGTTTGTTTCTGTATGAAACAGTTTCGGCTCACCGGAAAAACTTTATAAGAAGTTTTTATTAAAATCTCCCGTTTCCAGTTTAAACTTGCATTTAATACAAAAACTTTTTTCCGAATAACTTCTTCGACATTTCCATAGCCGTTTGCTTCCAACATTTTTCAGATAGAAACTTTGTCGAAAAGAAGAGTTGCGAAGACAGTTGGTACGGATGTTGTCCGGACGGCAAAAATCCTGCGCAAGGGCCAGACTTCGCTGGTTGTCCTTTATCCTGCGGCTGCAATAAATTAGGAGCGTATTCGGAATATTGCGATACCAAAACAAATAAATGCCGATGCAAGCCAGGAGTTGGTGGCGACAAGTGCGATCGATGCGAGCCTGGATTTTGGGGGTTGCCAAAAATATCATCCGGTTTTAAAGGATGTTTACGTAAGAACATCACTATTTCAAACCAATGATACCGCAACACCAGTGATGTCAAATAACTGATATTACAGATGTCTGCTTAACAAGTGCCGCGAAATATTCTTAAAAGGAAATCTTGCCATTTTTTGCGAACCCTTCTTCGTAAGGTAGGCTAAACCATTGTTGCTTGTTGGGTTTACCCAGTAACGATAGGTATGAAGATCATAATTACTTTTTTTCTACCCCCGGCTGTAAAATATCTAATTACACACCGATCTAACGTGCGGGAAGCGTCACTTTACCACGTCAATTTCGTTTCCCACGAATCCGAGCCATTTCGGACATTTCCGAGATTTTACCGCACGGATTTGGGAGCGATCGGATGTTTTCGGAGATATTGCCCACGCTTTGAATTTTGACGTTGGTCAATTCTGATGGTCATGTCAATGCATGTATTCGTGTTGTTTTGCGAAAATGTACCCAAAACCTGACGGTCGTAGAAAAAGTATAGTATGCAACACGTTCGGTAAACTAACTCACTAACTCACTAAACTCACTCGTTTATTAAGCACTCGCTCCGCTCGTGTCAAATAAACTCGTAGATCAAATGCCGTTTACCGCACTTGTTGCATATTATACTATTACTTTACTTGAATTCTATTCAAATGACTCTTGGTGCAAGTGGATATTATCTTTTCGACGCGTGTTAAGCAGGCGACTGAAATGTCGGTGTCCATTCAAAACGGGGAGTGTAAATTATTGTTTAAACATTGTAGCATGTGGCTGTTCAATATTCGGATCAGTAAGAGATGACTGTGAACAGATGACGGGAAGATGCGTGTGCAAACCAGGAGTTCAAGGCCAAAAATGTACAGTTTGCACCAGCCATAACAAAGTGCTAGGGCCGAACGGATGCGCTTCAGGTGACGATTCAAACGATTTTATTACATTTTTAAGGTTATGACGCAGGGGAGAAGCGTAAAGTAACAATAGATCATTAGAATTAATTTGTTTCCGTAACATTGAATAGGTGATCTGACTACGATACCCCCGTCTACGTGCAAAGAATTGACTTGTTACTTTGGGGCAAGCTGCGTCGAACGGAACGGTCTGGCTATGTGTGAATGTCATGAACAATGCCCTCCGGAGGATGAGGCGCAAGTACGTCACCCGAATAGATAAAATATTATCTCGACATTTTTATCGTATCTTCGGGAAATGTAATTGACACAGATTCGAAATTGGCCGCGGCGGAGATTTTATTTAGTTTTATTTGGTACAAAATTGATTCCGATGCCCATCGCTTTCGTATTTCCAGACCGTGTGCGGCAGCGACGGACAGACTTATAATTCGCCCTGCGAACTTAACGAAATCGCCTGTCATTCGCAAAAGGACATCGTGGTACAAGCATTCGGCACGTGCAAAGGTAAGTCAATCGTTTCGTTTACTTCTAGATTGCGCCTTATTCGTACCCGGGTCGATCACGGAATCGATTATCTTCCGTGCTAACGTTTATTTTAGAAGACATGTTTCCCGGAACGGACTGGCCCATTCGTCGATACACCCCCCTCCAGTTTACCCAACCGGACGAAACCAACGGGCCACTTTCGAAATCGACGAGGCACTTGTTAGTGCCGGATCCCAGATTTTACTACGGAAGCGCCACGAAACCCTTAAGTTCCGATATTAAAGATACGCGTGGTGAGATTTCTATTAATTCGCTTTAATATACTAATAACCTAAATATACTTGACATGTATATAAGTTTGACATGTAGCAAATAAAACCAATGGAAAAATTCCCGTTCAAAATTTCTTTACTCATACTGGGCCTTCATTTTCGGCGTATCTCAAAGTTTGGCAAACATTCCTATTATTTTCGAAACATACAGAGCATCGCACAATGTTGCTGAACAAGTAAACGCGTTTTGAAACAACTAAGTTTAAAAAAATTGTTTATCGTTGGAAGATTTTTAAACTTTCCACATATTTTACTTGCATACATGATAAATTAAATACCGCAGCAACTTTCATGGTGCACGACTTTTAGGAACGTTTTCAAAATTTGGTGGATCTGTAGATATAATATATTTTCAGTGATGTCATGTTGGCGTTTCTTACAAAAAGTAATATCAATTTCGATATTTTTAATTAATTTAATATTTTGAATAAAAGTTTCGAAAATTATGGCCAGAATTTCAGCTCTTATGAATTGAAATATGGCTATAACAAAGATTTAGTTGGAAAAAAATATTGAAAATAAAAGCCACCAGCGAGAGTGATTAGCTAAAAATAATCGGCAATTGATCACAGGACGGAAAATCCGATAATATATAGAGTGTCCCATTCAAAATATCAAATGCGAAGCTACTTTTTCGTCAGTCCTCGCTTATATAAACAACCAAATTTTCAGAATCCTGCTAAGTCTCCTTCACTAAAAAAGTATATATTTGCACAAAATCGATTAAGTCGAAATACTTAAAGAATGCCGAACCTTTCGAGTAGTTTCATCGCCAATAGTTATCAAGCCAAGATTCGCCATGCTGACTATACTGTCATTGTCGGGAATCGAACCGATATACAGCTAGACCTCTTTCTCAATCACATGAATTCGCTTGGTCGACCATTAATTTTACCAATGATAAAAAGAAGAATGGCTGTCTACCATTTCTATAAGTCCTAGTAACGAGTCTATCAGTCCTTCTGCATATGGAACTACTACACATACTGGACAGTACCTAAATTTTCGGTCCAACCATTCTGGGGCAACCAAACTAAAAACAATTAAAACACCTTGAAATATGCAGCAAAGAAATAATACAAAATATTTGCATCAAAAAGATTACACTCAAAACTCTATGAATAATAACAGGAAACAGGAAGCAACTGCGAAACGTGTAATGTACAATAAAACAAAGACAAGGAAAGTTCGATAATCTCTTAGTATTTCTACTTAAGTCGTTTTATAAATTGAAAAGTCTGCGGGAAAAACGACGAAGTTCCCAATATTATAAATTTTAATGAGAGCAGTTTTATTTTGCAAATCTCATCATTATTACCGAGCAGTTGGTTTATTATAAGGCTGAAAAAATATGGGGAACTTCCTCTAAATTCGTAGTCTGAAATACACTAAAGTGTTCGTCTCTCAGTTGGTAAAATGATGAAGCTGTCGAATTTCGGCAACATTGTGCGTCAGCTTGTCACCGTGATCCACATATATTGAAAAAAAAGTCCTGTTAGGCCTACACCTAGACAATCCGCAGTTTTGCTGTATATTAAAACAAAACGCTCCTGTTTATCGAAATAACTAGATAAAACTAAAAGTACAAACCTACTAACCCGTGCCAACACTAACATGAGACTTGCCATAACTCAAACGCAAAAAAATATTTCTAGACGGAGATGTTGCTCTAGCTTACAGACCGACACCTGCGACTGTAAAAGTTACAGCGCTTTTGGGCGACTTGTGTTCAAAAAGCTCCGACTGCCTGATATTAAACAGCTACTGCGTTGCCGGAGCTTGCTCGTGTCTACCAGATTTTTATTCCTCATCCGATCGGCAGAAATGCATCGGTAAGCGGGCATACGAAATCGACCGACAGTAACGTCATTTGTCTATTGAGAAAATCAAACCCCACATCCGACACTAAAATAGACACGACCTGGAATCGATGGGATCTCAGAACAAAGCTCATATATTTCGAACAGAATGTAGAAGCTCCAAGTTAAAATATATATTGTGGCCGTCAACAAATTCGTCATAACGGTAGTGTAATCGTAAAACTCCAGAGAAAAAACGCGCGTAAAAAAAAATTAATGGCACGATAAGGGAACAACTTGAAAAAATGCAAACATTTTACAGATGCCCCGACGGTGTAATTTTATTTCCATCTAATTAGTGCTACTTGCAAAAGTTTCTGCAAATGAAAATGGGTAGGTATTTTTCTGGAAACCCGAGTTTCTTAAGCACCTAATTACTGGAGTTCTCACTTCAACAACTTATCAGTTAAGCTTCTAATGAAGCCGACAATTGAGTGGATAATCTAGGCGTTAATTAGCTAGCTTCAACGTTTGGGATTTGTGGTTTTTCATAGTGAAAAACATTTCCGACACGCAAAAAACCTCTTCAAAATATTTGACTGCAAATGGCACGGCAACACTTCCCGCGTGATTCAAAAATCAATATTACTTTTGTTTTCACCGACTTATTCCCAGACGCCGGAGATTTGATATTCAGATTAGGGGCATTGACGTAAATTTAGAATTCCGACAGGTCTGGCAATTAAAATAAAACTTTAAGGCGAGTTACATTAAACCTTCCAAGTAGTTCTGTGAGTTGAACTTCACTTCACAGGTAGAATTTTCAGAGCGGCTTAAATTTAACATCACACGGAATAATTCGCGATCACTTTCAAATTAGTTATTCCGATATCTGAAAAGTCAAAGACACGTCGTTTTCCCGTCGAGAATAACTTACAACAATGGAATTAAAATCAAATCAAAATCATTAGCTTAAAAGAGTGGATAGCGAAATATTTCATCATAAACTCCATACAAGATACGGTTAAAAAAAAATTCGCTACGCCACTGGATTCACAATTCTCATATTAATACACCACAAATTTCAAAAAGGGACATTTATTAAAAACAAGGGAAGGGAACGAAACCCAAAATTGATACCCTCTACATCTTGATCTAGGGGAATGTACAACAGTGTTGCAAATTCAAATCGGTTATTGGACAAAAACCGTGCATAAACGGGAAATTGCAAAGAATGGCGATTTATTAAGTAGAATCAGACCTACTGGATTTGCTTCATATATATATATATATATATATATATATATATATATATATATATATATATATATATATATATCGATTCATTTGGGAAATTGTATTCATTAATATTTTTATTGCAAAATGTTTGTATTTTCGTGGACAAGTTTCTTACTTTAGGAGTTTGTGTGGATATTTTCAAAGGAACTAAATACAGGTTGATCAAAAACTAACATTAAAAATTAAAATGTAAAAATCGTGATTAAATTTTTATTTTTCTTTTTGCAGGTTCTAAGATAAGGTGTCATAATAAACGAGCTAAGCATATTTTTAAAAATATTCAACAATCTTCAATTACGATTTACGAAATCTGCCAAAACATTTAATGTCACGCATTTTTTTTTTCTGCGTGTATTTTAATCCGGAAATATGACCTAAAGTACATCTCCAGAAGAACAAAAACAAACGAAAAACTTCATAAAAAAATACTATTAAAGCAAATAACTCAAAAAAGTGGAACAACTCTCCAAAGAATGTGTTACTATACAATAACCAAAAGATATCAATAGAAAATACTCAAAAAAAAAATGCTTCGACAGTAATGAGACTAAAGCTAATTATTCACATTCACATAAAATTCAAACAAGCGTGTAGAAAACATTTAGAGGTAATAAGAGTGGAAATCTAGTTAACGTATTGAATTAAATGCGGTCCCTGAATTTCAAAACTCGGAGTCAGTGCTTTAAAACAACCCATCGGAATTAGTTAGGAAAAACATGTCGCCTTGTTGCCCTTCTAATTGTAAAGTGGAGTTGAATCGCCGGCCATGATTTATTCATTCGTTATTTTGCTTTTACGTACGCAATAGAAATTTCGGTCCATTATTGATGTACAACAACATGGCGGAAGAACGGAAGCTTCGGATAAATTTCAAATTTCAATATTACTTACTAGAAACTTAAGCTTGGATTAATATGGAAAGGTAAAGGAAGAGTAAAATGATTAACAGGTGTTTATTTTAAGCAAGCCTGTCGTAATAGGATGCTGATCTACCGATTACGGGCGTGTTTGTTTAAGGATATGTTGGCCTAACGAATTCGCTGAAAATAATAGAGCACTTACAAAAAATAGACAAATGATGTTGCAACAACAAAAACATCGATAATTTCAAACTTCAACATTTAAAATTTCACACTAACTAATAAAAACAAAAGCAAAATTAAAAATAATCGTACAAAATTATTCAATAAAAAATAGATGAGTTGATGTTGCAAATGTTTTCCCACACCATGTTAAGTCCGCTAAACACGATTCAATTACTACGTGTATTTATTTTTTTATGAAAATATTGCAAATTTTGAGAAATTTTGTATATACAATTAGCAGCTATTTTTAATGTATATAAATTTAGAATAGGTTTAACCTCTACGAAAAATGTAAATAGTCCCAATCACGAAAGATAACGATTGAAAGTGTATTTAGCATAAATAATTTTATAAAGAAAACCATTTAGTTTCACGTTACTTTAAATGTAAATTGCCTGAAATGAGTGTTAGAGAATTAATATAGTTAATAAAATGTATAACATATAATGTGGTGGTGAATACGTGTGTCCATAAAGTTTAATCATTTATTTACGACGTCCTAACATTAAAAACTACGTGTATTAACCTTCAAAAATTAAAAAACAAGATTCATAAACAAAAATCCGCATCTTCTTGGTAATATATAATATAAGGAAATAATAACGTTTCACGGTTCCTCGCAACTTCCAACAACTTCAGAACACATAGAATGGTTTCATAAAAAAATGTACTATTATTCCATACATCGCAGATCAAGTGATGTAATTATTATGAACAATTACTTCTAACAAAACTATAGGTGTTGCAATTTAACCAGGAAAATAAAAAAACAATTCTTATAACAAAAACAATAAAAGTAGACTAAATTAGCTCGAAATGTACGAGAATTACCCAAAAATTGGTTTCGGAGTACACATAAATTAATAAAACATTTAACACGTTTTTAGTCATTTAATTACTGCATCCGAACACTAAAAACTACATTTGTTAATGGTCAGAAGTTAAAAAGCACATTTATAAACAACAGTTCACAATGTTGTTTTAAAAATTGCATCGTGTTCACCGGACTTTACGCATCTTTCTGGGAATATATAATCCACGAAAATACTAAAAGAAAAAGTCCGCAGTATTCGTTGCGCTTCCTCGGAAGGCACTTAAGGCACCAAGAATCACGCAACCCAATTTACGAAGCCTTCGATTAATTTGTCGATTCAATAATTATTATAATTACAGAAGAGTATCACCCGACATCGGAACTAAGAGCGTGCACTTCGTCACCTTGCCACCACTTAAGCACATGCATCGATTTGCCAGCGGCAACGTTCACATGCATTTGTTCAGAAAGTTATACGGGACCATCTTGCGAAACCGAAATCGCTATAAAACAATACGAAATACCGTCCTTCAACGGCAGATCCTACGCCATTCTTAAAACCATAGAGGCTTATAATAAACTTATCGTCGAAATGGAATTCAAATCTTACACTTACGACGGTATATTACTGTATAATGCCGAGAATGATAATGGTTTAGGGGACTTTGTATCTCTTTCCCTCGTTAATGGATTTGTCGAGTTTAAGTATAATTTGGGCCACGGGCCGGTTATTATGCGTTCGCAAGACAAAATTGAACTCGGAAACTTTCATAAAGTCGTAGTCAAGAGATATAATAGAGACGGTCTCCTAAAACTTGATGATGCAGATGATGTAGCGGCCCAAGCCTCTGGCTCTATGAAAGCCCTCGATCTCAAGACCGATACTTTTGTTGGATACGTTCTTACCAACCACACACGGTAAGTAACACATTATTTTCGAACTTTTTCTCGTCAAAATTAATCCGAAATCCGAAAACAAAAACGAAGATTGAATAGGCAAGCAAAAAAAAATAAGTCGTTTTTCCATTTCTTTTATGAATTATAAAAAAAACAAAATCTTTGTTTTTCGATCAACAGTCTAAAAGCTGTTGACTTATTTTTATACAATACCTTAGATAGGTCAAGATACGTCAAGATCCTCATACAAATTTAGCACTCTCCCTCTTTTAAATAACAATTTCATTTCGAAAAAATAATGGTCTAGATTTTCGCATCTAATTTTTGTTTTGACGTACTACCAAAATTTCATAGCAAAAATGCAGTTTAATAGCCTAGCATCAAATTTGCTTGCAAATTTTAAAACAATCAAGTTTTTTGCCTCTAAAACAATGCTCGAGCATTCTTTGCTGGATGACTAAATGTCAGTGCATATTATACAGGGTGTTACTGAATAAAGTGTTCATTTTCAAGATACAGGATGTCAAAGAAAAAAAAGGTAATTTAAATTAATATCTTAACTCTCATAGACAATAAAACAAGTTGCCGCAAACAAAATATAAAACTTGTAAATATGTTAAATACTCAAAAACCTTGTTGCTGGTTTTGACACATAAAATCCCTTATGACTTCAAACAAGAAAGAGCATCGATTTTAAGATATTGATTTTTTTGCAAAATCCAGGAACCTTCTGGGCAACTGTTTATAAATCTTATCTTCAATGCGAAGTTAGATACAAAAAGAAAAAGTGGAAGAAACAAGCTTCATATTGGATTGTTTAATCTAAAATAATTACCACACTACTGATGAATTTCCCATTAATATCACTAATAAGCGTATGCACAATAGTTAAAAATGCATTTTGATTACAGCACGTTTTATTACTCTTTCAATCACAATGAACAGAAATGGAAATTAATTACTATTATTAAATTACTATTTACAAGTCTTCTGGATTGTACCTTCATCAAACTTGCTGATGTTTCGCCAATCATCCTGTTGACTTCTTCAGAACTTAACTGAAACTGATTCGCATTCCACTCTGTACCTGCTTATATATTGTTTGAGGAGAGGCGGAGCTAAAGGATTGGCATGAACATTTTAGTATTATGGAATAAGATTTGATATTGTATTCGGCAACTGTTTTAAGGTTCTTTCAAATTTTTGCCTGTAATCAATTCTTCTACCAACGAACTATACGAGAATCTATAGAAATCTATAAGCAACCAAACAATCTTAACCGCGACTCAGGTAGAACAATATGAGAATTACTTGTTTAGCTCCGCCCTCATCAAACAATATATAAGGAGGTACAGATGGGGATACGAGCCAGCAGCGAACAATCCTGAAGGTTTGTAAATATTATTACAGTAGCCTGTGGAAATTTCCTTGAAATATATTGTTAAATTGTTTACTATCTAATTCTCAAAAACAGCTAAACTTCACAAAATAAATTACCCATCTCTGTACTGTGCGAACAAATTGAAAAATGCCTAATATCGCTTTGCTATGCTGCGTTACGTAACGGAAAATACAGTATTACTCGAAAAAAGAGAGGAGGTTTCATGTTTTGACAATTTCGAAGGGGAAATTCGAAAACCGCAAGTACCGAAACGTATTAACAATTTGAACGTTTCGTCGATAACGCCGTGCAGAATAAACGAAAAGTCCTTCCAGTTTCCATGACGAACGTTCGCTCTAACTTTACGCCAACGTTTTAACGCACCCCGTTCGTGGAATAACATTGTTCGACCCCCCAAGCTTTGTTTATGTAAAAGAAAATATGCATCCCGATACGCGGCCACAAACAGGATATTCCATTGTCTACCGCAGCTTGTACGGCTCTAAATTAATGGATGTAAAACGCAGCTAGTTCCCAGAATTTCGGAAAACTTTATTAACGTTAACTATACAGGACGGAGATTTTGGGTAGTCAAAAAAATGCATTTTCTACCTGTTGCAATCGATAGATGACTTATAAATGGTACGAAAGCGAGAAACGCCAAATAATTTCCTAACGAAACAACGTAATCCCCCGACCTACCTCTCGAATCGACACAAATATCCCTAAACGATTAATACCCCATATTAGAAAGGAAGGACCCCGATATCTCTTCATTTTCCGCGTATACGTGTACACGGCTAATATCGGAATTTCATTTGTTGAATTATTGTCAAATGAAGCGTAGGAGCATTATGATACTTGTCCTCAGGTATTTTATCAGTGTCTGGAAATGCTGCCGCTGTGGTTATTCAGGGCTATTACAATGCTCCAGAAAACGCTTATGAGGTTTAATTTCGACGTCGAGAAATGCCGTTCCGACTAAATACCTGCAGTAAGGAAATTTCTTTGTCCTACAAAGCAACGTATTCACGTGCGGTTGATTTTCACATCCACCTAGCGGTTTTAGCAGGAACTACGATACTACAAAGTAGCGAAATAAATAAAAAGCGTTAGTACAGGCTCAATCAATATTTTTCACGACGTACGATTTTATCACTTATTTCCATTGATTTTATTAATTTAATGCAAGGGGATCAGTTAATTATATATTATTATAATTTTGTTGAGTGTCCCAAAAATGTCGCCCCCGCCCCCCCACCGACAGCAACTTTGTTATTTTAATTGGAAAACCCTATATATTTCGACATTTTTGGAATCCCTGGTTAAAATAAAGGTCACTTTCTTAAGAAATTCCTCTTCAAGTTTCAGACATTGCAACGAAAATTTAACCACAGACTAAGGATATGATCAGTTTGACAGATGCGCCTCAGCTTATACAGGGTGTCCCAGATAGGTGGTGACGTTTTTGCGAATTCAATTAACAAAATCTCAAGATTTTCAAATGGAGCAATCTATATTTTTATTCAAACATCAGTTCTAGTGCAAAAAATAAAATAAGTTTGTAATTTATCTTATCTTTCAATTTTACTTACTTTTTGAGATATTCGTGGTTTAAGATAACACCCGTTCTTTTAAAATTAAAAACAAAAAAAAAAAAAAGTTTAGTTAAAAATATTCCTCTTAAAATGCTCGTTTCATCTGGCATCAAAACAACAAAGAAATATCAAAATACTTAAAAATGTAGATGGCGAAGACATCACAATCTCTTTTTTGACGCATTATAATGTATAAACAAACTTTCACAGTTCTGTTTGTTTTTGTTGTTTTCCGTATTTATATTTAAAAACCTCATAGTTGTCAAGTTTCGTGTTAGTATATCATAAAATACCTGATATTGCCAACAAGTAACCTAATGTTAAATCTTAACGAATATCTCTAAAAGTAAGTAAAATTTAAATATATGATAAATTGCAAACTTACCTTGTTTTAAGATTTTGTTAATTGAATTCACCTATTTAGAACACCCTGTATATGCTGAGGCGAATCTGTCAAACTGATTGAGTAGTGTATCATCTCCTTAGTCCGTGGTTCAATTTTCGTTGCAATACCTGGATCAGTAGCGTCACAACACAATTTTATATGGGCCAATCAAAATATGAAAAAAAAACATAACCTCAATTTCTGCCTAAACTATGCACAACTTGAATAGGGATTTCTTAAGAAACTGACCTTTATTTTAACCAAGGATTCAAAAAATGTCCAAATATACAGAGTGTTTCATTTAAAATAACAAAGTCGATATTGGGGGGAGTGGGGGGACGACGACACCGTAAACAAAATTGTATTATTTTAAATCTTCGGGAGAGCCCAAGAAAACTCTTGTACGAAACTTTTTTTCGTATCTCCTATGAGTTTCCAGATCGTATGGTGGACCGATTTATTTGGCACACGGTGTACATCTATTTGGCCGTAAAAAATGCGGAAAATTAAAAACCAAACGAGAGAACAGACATTATTTTGCTTGAGGTACATCTCATTATTAACAATATCATCATTGTTCTCATTCGGATCTAAAGACCGTTGTCGATTGAATTGCTCCTAAGCTTCTTCCAACCAACCTTTAGATTCATCCATCAACTGGCCGCGAAAGCCTTAACAAATGTGTCAATATCATATATTTACAATAACGATGTCATAAATCTACACTGTATACTAAGTAACCTCTTTTTGTATGTCTAAATGTTATTTGTAAAATGAAAAGTAATCGACTTAGACCTTGCGTTATCTAAATTAATGATTAATACATCCGCCCTAATCAACTCCAACAGTTTCCAAAATTAATGGAAATATTTCAGCTTATTTATGCATTCTAATTTTCTGAAACTTCCGCCTTACTAAACGTACGTGGGGAATAGCCAATTTTTTATTCTAGTATACGCGTAGTTCTAATATATTTTACAACATGGTCGGTTTTAAATTCTTCGTATATTTCAAAACTAAGGATATAAAACTAAATTGTAATTCTCATTTTTTTTTCAATATCACCATGCTTTTTGAAAACTAAGTAGTAAATAATTTCTATTTAGGATTAGAAATCTCTTTGGAATTTTTCGTTGTGATCTTCGGGACTTTTATTCTAATAATAAAAGTTTAAATTGTAGACATTTCAAAAAGGCCATCAGCCGCCGGTCGTCGTTTCAGGTCGATATTATGTCGTCACAACCCTGGCACGCGTTCCCAATTCAATTACGGATTAACTACCGAAAAAATGTCTAAAATCGGAACCTTTTTTTTTCGGTTTCAGCGTGTTCGAAAACATCGGAACCGACAAAGGCTTCGAGGGGTGCATAAAAAAATTGAAGATTGGCAGACAGGAAATTGAACTTCACATGTACCGACACGAAATGGTGTTGGAAACTAAAGGAATTCGTGACTGTAGCCGGCATGCATGCGAAACGTCTCCCTGCGTTAATGGCGGAAAATGTGTCGAGATGGATGATTTGTACCGTTGCGATTGTCCACCACGATATTCGGGGAAGTTTTGCGAAACGATCGACGACCCCTGCGTATCAAATCCGTGCGTTTTTGGCGCCAAATGCAAATCGTACGACCAGGAGGCTTATATATGCCAGTGCAAATCGGGCAGGACCGGCAAACGATGCGAAATTGGTAAGCTCAAACCACTGCTCCATTACTCTCTTTTCTTAATACTTTTGAAGTAAGTAAATCGGCTAAATCTAGCGAAAAATTTTAAATACAAAAGGCGTTTGTGATTTGCATGTCCTAAAATTTTGCTTTGTTTTATAATTTTCAACAATACAATACAATACAATATGTTAGATAGATCAAGATACATATAAGCAACTTTTTTTTCTAACTAAAAATTTCGTTTTGTAAACTTAGTGGTCTAGACTTTGACATCTAGTTTTTGTATTGAAGTACTGCCAACAATTTTAAAGCGCGTTCTACTAAAAATGCAATTTAAAAGTTGCTTGCTATAACATCGAATTTGTTAACTAATTTAACAACATTTTTATTTTTTTGCCTTTAAAACAATACTCAAGCATTCTTTGCATTCAGTGCATATTATACAGGGCGTTACTTAGCAATAGCTGAACGAAAATTATTATTATTATCTCAACTCTCAAATAAGACAAAACGACAAGACAAAATACAAAACTTTATTATGGCGGATCTTTTTTTTATGTCAAATAAATAATCAAAATAATGCTTCAATGGTTATTTATATTTTACAATCTTAGAAATAATAGCAAAGCTGCCTTTCCATCTACATCGAATCTGCAGAAATATAACTTTTAAAATGCCCAATGCAAAAAACCAGCTTCCTAGTAACATTACTGGCAAATTCTTTTCTAAATTTACAAAATCGTTAAAAAAAATAATGAATTCGTCACTGCATTTATAAGAGCTATTTAAAGTCTCATTTGAAATTTTAAACTTACTTAGTATTCACTTTAATGTAACATTTTGTGTATTTGCAAAGAGGCGTGCAAAATGTCGCCACCAAAATCATCTAAACGACCTTCGATATGTTAAAAAAACAGCGACTTTCAACTATATTACTATATAAAGCCTTTTTTAATGTACAGAATAAGTAAAAGGGAGTTGGAAAGATATAAAAATTCATTTTCATTGACTCTACCGTCGTTATACTTAAATCAAAGACTTTGGAATATGAATTAAAAAAACAAGAAGAAAACTTAATTAATAAATAAACAATTAAAACTATTATTAATTCTCGAAATTTTTAAATTTTGAACTACTTCTACCAAAAATTATTGAATTTTTTGTTAAAAGTTTCTGAATTTTTGTGCATTCTTAGACTCTTTAGAAAAATTAAATTGACTTTATTGTTAGTTTATAGTAGATTTATTGTTAGTTGATGTAACAATGTCGACAGATTTTCACGACAACGAGTAACAATTGGTTTTGGTTTTGGGTTTTTTGTAAATAATCTACAAAACATTCCATCACTTTTTATTGTAAAATTGAAAATAAATGTGTTATAAGGGGTTTGTTAGTCCACCTCTGATAATTCAATTTCAGATACCACCTTTAATTTAATTTAAGTGACCCGTACAATGTTATTGAAGAAATGGCCGGCCGGTATAAAACCCGAAAAGAAGTGCCGACTTTCATAAGCTCACATCGAATTGATTAAACTGTATAAACAAAACAAATCCCTCCGGTGTTAACTCAAAAAGGGCCTTTCGATGTTTAAATTGTACAAACGGAATACCGGCACAAAATAATTTAAGTTTACACAAACTACCGTATTCCCTTTTTAAACATCGGCCGTTTAACAAGGCTACTGGGAAAATATCAAAGCCGTGTTGTATGCAGATGTTTGAGCATTTTATCGGGGTATTGGATTATATATACAAGAGCATATAGAATATAAAATGGCCCGGATAACAACGAAAAGTATCGATTTACCAAAATATTGTTCTCGCCCCGGCAAAATAGTCTATTCAATAGAGCTAAGAGGTTTTATTTTCTTCTATTTTGCGCGACATCACTTTTCGAAGCGGATTGTAAGTTTATACACCGCGACCACCAAATATACGTCGTTTCGGGAAAAAGAAAAAACTCTTTCTATCGAATCGGACCGTTTTACTTACGAATTTATGTTCCAGAATTTAAAAACGACAAACAAGTAATACCGGAGTTCAACGGTCGTAGTTTCATTCGATTCCCGCCGCTGAAAGGAACGGAGAAGACATTTTCGATTGAAGTTTCTTTTATGCCTAAAGCGCCTAATGGTCTAATTTTGTACAGTGGCCAAATGAAAAATGGCCTTGGCAATTTTATTTCCCTGAATCTCGCCCACGGTTATTTGCAATTCCGATTCAGTTTGGGAGGAGGCGCCGTGGATTTAATGTAAGTACTTTAAAACCCTTTTTAATCCGTAGAAACTAGTTTTGCATGTATCGGAAACTTTGATTTATTTACGTCCTATTTTTTTATTGCGACAATTTACGGGCGAAAACTGAAACGAATTAAATCTGTGCGCCTAAAAGTAGGTCATATCAACAATAAAGTCATTCGGGTTGTACAAAGACGGATATCGGCGGAAATCCATTTTAATACTCAAACTCGGGATAAAAACAACTTTTCCCTCTTAGCGAAAGAAAGATTTGCATGTCTGTCGCTTTTTTTCTTATTTTGGACGATGTGTATAAAACCTGTGGGAATACTTCATCGATTTCTTTAGAGAATACAAAACGTGTTAAAGTTCCTTGCCCTTAAAGCTTTCTAAAGAAATTCCTGTAGCGGATTATAGAGGAAGTTAGATCCTGTGTAGATCTGCCTCTTTCCCGTTTTTTTTTCTCTTTGGCCGGGAACCCCATAAAATTTTAATAACGCTCGAATCACAAAAGAAATACCAACAACATAACGATCAAGGCGTTTTCTACACAGATGTATTTTCTTAAATTTAACATACTTAATATATAAAACTTTAAGAATATTTTTATCGCACCACTTTAGGAAAACAATTTCTCATTTTTGGAACCTTTTGATATTCTTAAGCGGTGAAGTGAATTTTTTTTTCTATACAGATGTATTTTCTGAAATTCAACAATTAAAACAATTTTTTATCGCACCACTTTAGGAACACAATTTCTCATTTTTGACACTTTTTTATATTCTTCAGTGATGAAGTGATTTTTTTTCTATACAGATGTATAGTCTTCAATTTAACATACTTAATATATAAAACTTTAAGAATATTTTTATCGCACCACTTTAGGAAAACAATTTCACTTTTTTGGCACTTTTTGATATTCTTCAGCGGCGAAATGATTTTTTTTGTACAGATGTATTTTCTTAAATTCAACATACTTAATACATAAAACTTTAAGAATATTTTTATCGCACCACTTTAGGAAAACAATTTCACTTTTTTGGCACTTTTTGATATTCTTCAGCGGCGAAATGATTTTTTTTGTACAGATGTATTTTCTTAAATTCAACATACTTAATACATAAAACTTTAAGAATATTTTTATCGCACCACTTTAGGAAAACAATTTTTTTTCTGTACAGATGTATTTTCTGAAATTTTAATATACTTAATACATATTAATTATTTGTTACTTTAAAATTGCAACAAATAAATAGTTTGCACTTTTTGATATACTCCATAGCTGAAGAAGTTTTATATACAGGGTGTGTATTGCAAAACAATATAGTCTTGCTTAGTTAAATATTTTTAAAATAGACTATACTGGACGTAGCTGTCGAGTTGCTTATTTTATTATTCAATAATTATATGTGACTACCGCAGGGTGAGGTTTAGATATGGACCGCCGGCTATTTTTTTTTTCTATTTAATGCATAATAATTACTGTCAAAAATGAAGTTTGCAGATTAGACTGGTTATATTTTCCTAAACGGTTGAAATTTTGACGTCATCTATATTCAACGGACAATGTTGCAGTGGCCAACTGGGTATTTTTCTGGACACATTTTCTTGTCGGGTTAACCAAGATGATATTAAAACGGAAACATTGTAAAATGTCAACTGTCAACATCGCTTATATATTTTTTTCTCTGTCGACTATTTCAAGAAAAATTCACATATTTCCGGTTTTCGACTTGTGTATTGCTAATAAATCATTTTAAAAATTAATTAAAAAATAATTTGTAATATTTATATAATAACTTTAATTTAATAGCTCAATCTCTACAAATTATTAGTAAAAAAATAGTATTAATAATTTTATTGAACAAATCAGCTAATATTTCATGTTCATAATATTTCAATATTAATTCTTTTAAAATGACACTTGAGGCGCATGTTGTAGATTTAGCTAGGCGATTCTTTAGGAATTTACTCATTAAAATCGTTAAACGTTACGTCTGCAGCATGTTATTAACCCAATTAAATTAACTAAAAAATGTATTTCAAATCTAAAATACGCGAAGTGTAAGTTACGGTCGATTTTTGTCCCCTTGCATTTACAATGACCATAACTTTGCACCGTTTTTCACACGTTTTGTTTACTAACGAATCCGTACGTTTTATCCGGATCACGTTTTGTTTTAAAAAATAAAAAAATATATGATAGGAATCACTACGCAACATAAATTTTCACATAATATAAGAGACGTGCCGACGTTACATTAACGTCACGCTTCCGTTCCCGTAGGAATTTTCGTTTTCCCGCCCGTAAATAAGCCCCGACTTCTTTTCCTCTTATATATTTTAACATGGGTAACGCCGTTTTATAATACAAATCCTTTACGTTTAGGACTGTGGATCCCATTGTCATCCGCAAGTGGCACAAAGCCCGCATTTCACGTAAAGGGAAAGAAGGCATTTTGCAAGTTGACAATTCGACCATAGTTTTTGGCCACTCGGATACGGCCATTAAGGACTACGCTTTGGACGCGCCTTTCTACGTCGGATCGTTCCCGTAAGACAACGTTTAAATAACGTCTTCTCCAGCTAAATTAAAGTCTCTTGACTTCAAAGTTTTCCTGACACCGTAAAAAAAAAAACGAAAGTCGGAGCGTCTAACGAGCTATCCTTTTTGATAAAAATATTTAAAGCATTTTCCACGGAATATCGAACGGAGATATTTATTAAATCGATACACCCTAATAGCTCAAATACATCAAAGCCTTCTATCGAATTTCAAAGGGAAAATGTCCCGCCCAAAGAAAAATCCCGAGCCGTTCCGACCGAAAATAATTTTCGAAAAAACTTCGCCGTTTACAAACAATTTTTGATACGTTGTCCTTTCATTCTAGGCATGGCGAAAAGGCAAATAATATATTGTCTTCGCCGGTATCCAATAAAGGGTTTCGAGGAATCATACAGGGACTGACGGTAAATGGGAATCCCTTGCCGATAACAAACATATTACCGGACTGTTCCTACCATCCATCCAACAATAGTTGCGCTTCAAACGTGGGCTTTTATGAGGGATTACCTTGTCCAATGTATAAAAATCCTTGTCTAAATAATGGATTTTGTATTCCGAACTTGGCAGATTTCACTTGCCAATGCCCTCCGAGGTTCAGCGGGAAATTTTGCGAAATTGGTAAGTGATAACAATGTAGCAATCGGGTTAATGGGGTTGTTTGTGTCCCGCGCCCTTGTTTAAAGCGACCCTCTTTAGGAACGTTTTCGGTAAAATTTAAATAGGAAAACCAATGGAAAAATGTATTTACCCTCTAAACCAATAATAAGTACGGTGGTTATTCCTAAAAATACTTGAATTTATTTATGGCATAAAAAATAAATCAATAAGAAGAAAATATATCAATTATTATTATATATTAAATTTTATTTTTACATGTTTGTATAATATTTAAAAGATCTCAGAGTTGTTTATAACATTAATGATTTAAAATTATAAATTAATTGTTTTTAATTTGCGTTTATTTAGACTATCGAAACTGGAGTTTCAATTTCGGGATGAGCGGGTTGATTGCAAAAAAAAGAACATAAAAAAGAAAACATTATCCAAAGCAAAGTGGTAAAAATCTAGAAGCTTATTAACCTTAAATATCTTTAAAGTTCAAGAAAATAATCAATGTAAGAATTATCAATTACATAATAGTTACACCTTGATTATTATTCTTAGTATTTTTTTAAGACTTAACCCACCCTATTACTTTTTTTTCCGAATGGTTAGAGGGTAGACAATGGAAAAGGATATAAAAAAAACTAAATGCTTTATTATTACGATAAATTTCTATAAAACACAAAATAATAATAATAACGTTAAAATAAATATAATTTTTTGAGCAAATCTAGCCGCAATGATAACTTATGTTATTATCGCGTGTTAATTATTATTTTCCTTGGGCGGCCTTAACCCATTATTGATTTATGGTCAAGAATGAATTAGAATAGAGTTTGATTAGTTTGATTAGCCTGCATGGGCACTGTGTCGTGTTTTTGCCAATTTTGACCCTAAACAAAACCTGTTGAACAGGTCATGTATCTAATTTTAATAATTATTATAAATAAAGATTGCTTAAAAAAAATAATTTATAAATAACTAAGAATAGCGTGTACTTTTGGAGCTTTTATTTTTTTTTTAGTTAATTTAAATTAATAATTTGAACGATAACTGAACCTTCTAGAGGGTTGTGCGTCCAAGGTCTGTTTATTTACATAATTATATTTAATGTAAATCGTTACTTTTTTACAATAACAATAATAATAATAATAAAAATAAAAGTCCTTTATTTATCTACTAATTCCAGAGTTTATCAATACAATTCAATATTATTGAAAAAAGTGCCTAAATATCAATTCCGAATTATTTCTAGTTTTAGGAATATTTATTTGAACATTAAATAAGACGGGTGCAAAAAGTATGAGATTCGTATTTAAAAAAAGAAATAATCTCTATGATTGTTATTTTGGTTATAGAAATATAATTTAAAAAAGATCACCAGGTCCCGGAGCAACTTCTATGAGTACCAAAAATCTAACCGTATCAAAACTTAGAGGATTGAGGCCTTTTGAGGTTGTTAGCATTGCATTTCTCGCACAAAACAACAACCAACTAGACATTAACTAGAACGGCAATTAAATTTCGCGCCATGTTTGTTATGCAATCACAAATTGTTTTTTGCGTTATCTATTTCGTTTACAATTCGAACCATAATTTGTCGGGTTTATTCGCCGGAATTTATAACAATGTTAACGCTGCCGTTGTTGCCGAAATTTATTTCTAAATAAATTAGATTACAATTCCGAAATTTACCGACTATTTGCCGACCGTTCTGACGTTCGAAATGAGTTACATAATTAAAATCTGCGATCTCCCGAACCGTTTGTAATAACGAAGGCGCTTTTGTAAAACATTGCCGGAGACAAAAATGTTTTTTAATTTTTTAATTTTAATTGAGGGGACTGTTGCAGATTTTTAATTAATTCAATTTCGGCCACTTTGGAGGTCGGGACAGGCGAAAAAAAACTAGCGGTTAATTTTAGAAATTTAAGAACATAGATATATAGTCAAGGCAGATAGCATCGGTTTTATTTTGACGTTAAGCAAATGTATCTTCAGGCGCTGAGATGGGTCTAGTATTATTTATTGTAGATTTCCAAAGGACGCTCGAAGGCATCTGATGCGGTTTGCATTATCCAAAAAAAATTGTCTAGTTTATTTAATTCAACTGTATGAAAATTTTAATGTTTTTTGGTTGGGTTAGGTTACCATAGCCATCATTCATATTTAAGCAACACTGCTGACCCTATTCGTCCCGTACCTAAATACCTATATTTGAATCCCAGCAAGCAATAGATAACTTGAACGTTTTTTAATTACTTTAATGCATTTGTTTATGTATAAAAATAACGCATGCGAAATATCAAAACTCAAAACACAATGTTTAAGTTGCAGCAAATAATACACGTTGTGGCACCCAGCTATTCCTTTTAAACGACACTTACCCGCGGGAATGACCGTGACGTCATACCGCTGCTTTTCGATCGATTCGGCGAGATATGATAGTGTTATTCTCAGGTTATGGGCCGAGATTTATATTATTTACGTTTATTTTTGGCCCATTTGTATTTGTGCTTAGTGTGCTTTGCATGATAATAATGGAAGCAACAAAAAACAACGTGACAAATCGTGCCGTCGTGTTTGAATACAACGCGTAAGACGCCAAATAAACTTTTTATTCGTCTACCAGAAAATAAAAGCCGTCGTTTTTTGTTAACAGTATGTTCAGGTGTCACTTTAGCCGTAACTTAACTCTTCGAACTTGCATCCATTCTATTGCAGTCTCCATAGAAATGCTTTCCGGATCTATATAAAATAAATAAAACTAAGTTATCAATCCGTATTTAGGTTTCCACTAGTTAAAAAATATCCTTTTTGCTTTTTTTTTGTTGAATAATTATAGCTTTCGGAGTTTTGTATGTAAGATGTCACTATATACACTAAAGGTACGAGGGCAGCGCCAAAATTTCCGGGCCTGAATATGAAAGAAACAAAGTAGAGTAACAATTTTTTATTATTTTTCAATACAATCCCGCTTAACTTCAATACACTTATTACATCTCTTTATTAACAACTCAATCCCTTTAAAAAATATTCTTTGGTTTGTCTGCGAAATGAACTAAAACAGCCTCTTTTAACTCAACTTCGTCGTTAAATCGCCGTCCACTTAAGTCCTTTTTCAAATATCCAAACAAATAATAGTCGCTGGGGGCCATATCTGGACTATAGGGAGGATGATCTATCTGTTGGAACCCATACTCTAATATGTCAACTTGTACAACAACAGCAATATGGACAGGTGCATTATCGTGCAAAAGAGGCACGGCTCTGGTCAGTTTTCCTCGACGTTTCACACGTATACAGTCTCGCAATTTATGTAATAATGTTGGGTAATATTTACCATTGACAGTGGTATTAGTTTCTTTAAAATGTATAAAAAGGATTTTTTTACAATCCCAAAAGATCGTGGCCAGCACCTTTTTTGTTGACTGGCAGACTCTGAATTTTCTTGGAGATGCTTCACCCTTACGAGCATGCCCATTGATTATTTTTTCGATAGGGGGTCATAATAGAGAACCACAGTTTCATCTCCCGTCACAATAGTTTCTATCACAGGCTTCGTTTCCGACCCACAGAGTGCGAAAAAAGACCGCCCTCACTCGACACGGCGTTGTTTTTGAATAGCCGAAAGGTTTTTAGGAATCCATCTTGCACTAATCTTATGCATATCTAAATGATCATGCAGGATTCGACAGTTGTATCAGAAAGCTGAGTAATTTCAAAAATTTCCTTGACTTTTAAAAGTGGATACCACCTCTTCCACAATCGCAACAATATCTTCCGTTGACCTCCACTGGTTCTTGAATCATCTTCAAGGGACTGCTGCCCCATTCGAAAACGTTTTGCCCATTCTTTCACTACAGAATACAAAGGAGAACTTTGGCCGTACACACCATCCAGCCTTTATTTAATAATTTCAGGTGCTAACCCTTCTTTTGTCAAAAACTTTATGACTGCTCTATACTCAATTTGCGTTATTTGCGACATTTTTTCGGACACGTCTTGTTTAAAATGCTGTCAATAAAATACTACTTGACGCAAGGCTTGAACTTTTTTTTCGCAGCCTACTAAGATATATATTTAAAAGAAGACAAAGTTTTATCGTAATACTGGAGGTGCTTCTATGTCAGGCCGGGAAATTTTGGCGCTAACCTCGTAAATTATCAGATTCGGTAATTTTTAAAACTTTCTTTTTGATACTAAACTCAAGATAACAAAAACAACCGACAGGATCAAAATTAAAACCACCAAGACGAACGCGTTATCATTCTCTAATGATTTTTGTAATCTTACGAGCGGATTGACGTCACAACCGGTCACAGCTGCGCGTTAGGGTTTAAATTTTACCATTTTTAATTTCTTATACTAATTACACTACGAAATTATGTTTTTTGTGAACTGTGGTTCTTTTAAGAGTATAAACTTACTTTTATATTCAATATTTATATTCAATATTCAATTTCCCTATTTAAGTCGGACTTCTGTGTTGCAGACGAACAAGCGGCACTGAAGTTCACGGGACACACGCATCTGCAATACAAACTGAAAGGTTTCAGGAAGTGAGTAGGAAGTAGTTTAACCCATTACGGTATACTAACGGTTTTTGTTTAACACAGCAATAATTATACTGACTTGGAAAATCAGGTAGTTGTCAGATTTCAACGAAGGAAAAAATCTACTAACCCCACCGAAAATGATGAAGAAATGTAAGTCGGTAGAATTAACAAACTAACAGCAATTATTGCGTTTTTGATTTTTTTTTGTCTTTCGCGATAAACGTGCGGACGACATTGTTGCTAATTATTTTCGATGATTTGAAGGAGAAAATCCGAATTGGGCAACGATTACGCGTTCCAAATTCAAACGTTTGTTGCTGACGGTTTGCTGCTGTGGAGGAGCAGAACGCGACGATTGGCCAGAGAGTATTTAGCTGTAGCGATCGAGAACGGCAAACCCGAACTCAGCTTTAACCTCGGGAGAGATAAAAGGTTTTTTGCCATTAGGTAAGTAAACCGTTGCGATATTTACTTTCTGGTTGCCATTAATTATCCATCTTTGCAAAGGACGCGTCTAAGTGTGGTTCGAAAATTAAATACAAGACCGTTATAAACTCGTTGGGTTTTTCGCTCACCCGGTTTAACTTATAGTCTAACACAACGTACTTACGCCTTACCGTCAAATAGATGTAGACAAAAACAATTAGAAAATTATCTAGCAAGACGATCATGGCACTGTTAAAGTCCAGAGTTAAATTTAAAATAACTACATAAGCAGTAAATAACGCTAGTCATAACTGAAGATAGAAAGCAGTAAGGGATTAAAGGAGAAAATCTTGCTAATAATCTATTTGCCCATCGATGAAGTAGTTTTTAAAATTCATTTTCAAAGCCAGCAGCGACACATCGGGACCAATTAATGAAATTTACTTATTGTAGTAGGGTAAAGAAACCCCGCCTGTGAAAATTTAAATTCTATTATTAAATTTAATTAATTAAATCGAATTTTATAGTACAGACAGGATGGTGGTTTGCAATTCATAATTTTACAATAACAGGCATTGAGTTTATATCTGACCACATGATATGATTTCTAAGACCGATACATTTGTTTAAACAAAGCACCTGCTTGAACGCAAAGTATCGCGTTTTTAATTTGAGACCTTAACCACATAAGAAAAAGAAAGATACACGTTTAAAATAACCTCGTGTCAGTTTATACCTAACAAAAAAAAATCGAAAACGAATCCCATAAAATAATTTCAATTTTTATATAAAATCGCTACTGAAATAAACCGTCAGAATTGACAAACGTCAAAATTCAAACCGTGCGGTAAAATCTCCGAAAACATCCGATTGCTCTCAAATCCGTGCGGTAATATCGCGGAAATGTCCGAAGTGGCTCGGATCCGTGGGAAACGAAACTGCCGTGGTAAAATGGCACTTTCTGCACGTTAGATCGGTGTGTAATTACGTATTTTGCAGAAGATAGTAAAAGTATAATTTCAGATTTCCCCTAATGCATTCGGGATGCAATGAGGCTGCCCGCCCTTCCCATGGCAACTCTTGTAATTTTTTTTTGCAGGTCATAAATCTAGTTACAATTTTAACAGTCAGCAATAGCAAAGAAAATGAGAGTTCGTTTGTGACTTAGTTTTCTTCGTTGCAGGGCTACAAAAAGAGTAGATGACGGACACTGGCATACCATTCGCGTGAAAAGGAAAAAAAGAATTGGTATCATCTCGGTGGACGGAGAAAGAGTGGTTCGAGGACGATCCAGTCCCGGTGCTAAAAGTCTAAGGACAACTTCCAAGCTTTGGATAGGTAAAAAGACTGGCGGTTCCGTCGAACAAATTCCTGCAAATCTACCAAAACGCGGAGTTTTTCATCGAACATTTTAATACGCTTAAACGGAAATTTCAACTCTCAACGAGCTCAGCTGCTCGCGATGTTCATTACGTAACATTCTTTTTATTTACCTAATAATTTACTCTTTATCTTTTACGCGACATTAAACTTGTAATTTCTTTAACGCGTTCTCTCCTATCTTCGCCTTTATTTATGCCTTTGAGCGTTCGTTATTCAGTCTAATCGGCAAAAATATCGAAACAGTTTGGTGTTGCTGGGATAGACTCGTTAGTTTTTTTTTTATCGACAGGTGGTTCGCCGTCGCTGCCCCCGGGCCTGCCCCCCGCCTACTACAAAGGATTCTACGGATGTATTAAAAAATTCTTCGTCCACAACAAACCTTTTAACTTACTATCGAACGTAGACGGTAAAAAAGTACATTTTTGTCACGTCAATGATGTGTAGATCGGCTAAATATCTTTTTGCGGTTTAAAATAAACTGACTTGTGAGACTGAATTATATTGGTTTTCAAATGACTACGTTTATAATATTTTAATGACTCACGGGTGTGACCTAACTGGTTTTAAATTAGCGTGAGGACCGCGCCATTTTATGACGTTCTTAATAAAGCGCGGATTAAGCAATTAGAAACGGAGTCATTGAGAGAAAATGTAGCGTATAGGTAATAAATCGATGTACATAGATGTATCGTTTGTTTCTAAATCATCTAAGAGCTTAAACTAAAATATTAAAATGGTTTGATCTAGTCCTGTAAAATACTATTCGAAAATTGCGTTTATATGGAGTAGCTAAAAAAAACTTTAAGCAAAATTTTAATATTATAATTTAAAGCTAAATGAATTTAATAAAATTTCTGGCTGTTTGGGAAAATTGTGTAGATCAAAATCGATTGAGACTTTAGTTTTATAGGGAGAAATTTAGAATAGATTTAGTTGTGGAACAATAAGGCACTTTTCTAATATTGTTTTTATCTGATAAGTTATTTGTTTAGTGTGCCATATTTATTTTAATGTTAATGGCCTAAGTGTGAGAGTCGATGGTTTAGTACGTATTAATGAGACCATGCAATCAAACAAAATACAACCCCAAGTCAAAAATTATTTGGTTGTAAACATTTTGTAGTAGGGTTTTCCAGAGGGGACAATACATACTAAACATTTTGGCAAGCTGTGCTAAACACTTGTGGCTTGCTAAAGCCTGTGTGACTATATGTAGATAAGATGCCGCCTATTCCTTCCAAGCTCATTTCATTCACTCGTGGGTCAACTGTACTTTATAACTAATAAGACATATCGTTTGTTGAACACATGTCATATACGAAATAACTTTCTTGCGGTTATCGGTAACGTCGAGATTATTGAATCAACCACAGACAATACCAATTTCGAACTGAAACCACATTTAGCTAATATAGGATTTAAATGATGCTTGTTCAGTAAAATCGACTACTATAAGCGTGGAAGTTATTTCCGTAATATTATCTTAACAATCTTTGGAGACGTACTTAACAATATATTACACATATCTTCATATTTTTTGTTACATACTTATAAAAAACTTAGATTGTTTACATATAATACGCTTTACGTTGATTGATGTAAATATAACTTAAATAAAATAATCAAGTACATTTAGGTTACGTTAAGTTTTAGAAAATTATTGTAATATTTAGGTACATGTAGGAGATAACACATATCTTCCGTTTTAGTTAGAATATATTATTTTTCGAATAGATTTGTATTTCAGTTGGACTAAATATATTTTTTTCCAAACTAAGCAGGTGATATTTTTATTTACCGAAAATCGAAGGTCTGCAGAATAAACAGAATAAAAAGGTTCCCTGTAAGATCGTCTACCCCCGATGTTGATCTTCTCACTTGCTCTCTGATGTTCATGGTAATATTAAATAACACATGAGACAAAACAAAATAAAGACAAGAAAATAATAGTAATGACAGCAATATTTTAATTAAATCAAAACTGGGTAATACCTTTTAAATTATACATATTTCCCAACATAATTAAATAAATTCGTCTTACGCGTACGCTTAAGAATTCACGGGGTATTATAACAGTTGCAAAACAAAATGTTCCCATAAACGTTTAACAATTTAAACCCTGATAACACAAAAAATAAACAGAAACAAAACAAAATTAGTATTCCACAAAACATGAACAACCACAAAGGGTGGATTTTATTTTGGTTATCCTTTATGATTAATTTTATACTAAGATATCTCCATACTTAAGTTACTAACATTTGATCTTAGTGTAAAAAAATGCCATAATTCCAAATAATTTACTCAATTAATCGCAAAACCCTCCTTCCCCTTTAAATATGGTTAAGTGGGGCCTTATATGGGGCTAAATTTAAAAATATAAATTTATTTAGGAGCTTTCCCTCCACTTCTATCGATTTTGTTGAACAGACCACTACATTATTTTTATCCGAAAAAGAACTCTGTTCGAAGCGGAAGCCACTGGCTTTCAGCGACATCTTCAGATTAGTTTTCCAACCAAGGAGTAATATCGATCCATACCAAAGAGAGAGAAGAGATCCACGAAAACGAAATTTATAGAAAACCACAATAACATACATGGAGATGCAATTTGTTATAACTTGAGCTATTGATTTAGAAGATGGAATAACGGATCCTGCAAGTGATAATTTCATTATTTGATGAATTTGTCACTCCGAAGAAACGCTTGACTACAAATGTAGTCAGTCAATCTGAAGTCAAAACAGATTGGGATGCATGGTGTGCATGCAGTGTTCTCTTTCGTTGTATGAATATTTTGCGTATTATATATTACTTTAAGCATATTTGCCAGTTAGTGTCCATATTTTTCCTCGAATGAAATTTAAAATTAGCTTCGATCGAGTTAAAAAATATCTTTAATTGACAAGCGAAAAATGCGTATTAATTATTTGTTGATCAATATGAGTCAAAGCTTCGTGCAATTAAGAATTAATAAGGATTAATGTAGAAAATTTTCCCGATAAACGCAGATCGTCAATTTCGTTTTAAATGTGATTTCCTGGGGGCAAGGGGGAACGTGAAGTTGATTTATCACCTCTTTTGTGTCACGGTTCAAACCGACGACAGATAGAAATTAAATTGTTTTGCATATTTCGTTTTATACCATTAAGCTAAAAATTCCTATATACATATACATATACATATACATATATAAGTATTCTTTAAATTAAATTTTGAGTTTCATTGGTATTCCGAGATTAAATGAGATGAAAATTTTCCTGTTGTTCAGGTACAGCTGAATTAATGTGGGAAACTTTGACAAAGTACAGTAATCTACCTCAAATTGCGACGCTTAAACCTCAACTCGAGTATTTTCTACCACTTATCATTATTCTCAACATGAAAAGAGAATTTCTAAACTGTCGAACCCTTTACGTTCAAACACATCCGCACGCAAGCTTTTAAGAGCAAAATTAAACAACGGTTTCGTTTGTATTCAAAATATATTTGCATGAATCGATTAATCTCTTTATATATCTATAAAATTAACAACTTGGTATGTGAAATACAAGTATTAAGACCACAAAAAAAAACTTCACACATATTCACACACAGAATTAAAGATTTCAATGACTTATTCCTAAACGTTTTCAAATGAGATTGTTTTTAGCTATTTTTTTCCAATTTACCTTCACATGTAGTAATTTAAATTACAACACAAATATTACATTATTATTACTGGGAACCCTTGCATTATGTGCCGCCTTTCCCGGCGCAGTCGCCAGTATTAAGATTTTTTCATTTTAAAAAATTAGTGTTGTGCCAATGTTCCTTTTACGAAAACCGAATCAATCAATAACCGATTTCGAAAAGGACCGAATCATTGTAATCATTTCAATACTTTTTGTTGCCAAGCTGTAGACCATAAGTGACAATAGACACCGAATGCGAAGAGTTGAGAGAATTCCGATTTATTTGAATTTGAATTATTTTTGTGTCTATATGTTCTGTTTTCTGTTTTAGTTAGTATAATATTTAGCTGTGTTCTGCTTTTTATTGCGCCATGATTTTATCAAAGTAGGTGCTAAGTATTGGGTTGTAGGAGTAATACATTAATTTGTTTAAATTAAATACCTGTGTGGAAATAGATATTTCAATCAATATTCAATTCAACATATGAGCAAATCTAAAGGTCGATATCGTAACCGAATACTATATAATAATTATAACAATACTCCCATTCCTTTTCCATTGTCTATCTCTGTCATGCATTTAAATCTTAAACCATTCAAATCTTGATCGAATCGTTAGGAACAAACGGGATTCAGGATCAGGAAACTGATTGAACTGCGATATTGAGGCGAAAGCAGAGGTATGGAAGTGTGGGATTAAGAAGGCGTATCCCGTGGATTAAGTTTCAAAATTTTAGTTAGCATAATATCAGGCATGTAATTAAGGTTAATCAACAACTTTAAAAGGAAAGTTATTATTATTGTTTTTCAATTAGCTGTTTCGCAAGATTGAAAAAGTATTGTGAAGTTGGAAAAATGCTCATCTGTGCGAAGCAAGACTAAAGCCATAACTTTCAAACGTCAGCGCCATCTCTTACAGCATTTGAAAAAATTGCATAAAGTTGCGGCTTCTCTGATCTAGAGGACGTCACTGATATATTGATATGTATTGACCACCTGCCTTAACATACACCTGCTGATATTTATATTGCTTTGACTATAGATTTTATGGAAAGGAAACTGGAAAATGTTTTTAATTAAAATGAAATTAAAAAATTTCTTCATTTTTAACAAATCAGGGATCTGATGCAACTAACGCACTCGGTCGAAAACCGAGAAGTGCGTGTTGGACTTAAGGCGGCGTAACCAACCCCTTCCATATTTTGAGTTTCATAACAAACCTAAAAGGCAAATACAAATGTTTGCAGTGAAAAAGAAATTCTTCAAAAGGGCAATACGAATATTTAAAAGCCGCAAAAAACTAAATATATCAACAATATAATAATTAAGTTGAAATTAAGTAAAATGCTTGGGTTAAATGGGAATAACAGCTCAAACATTTAACAACGTTAATAGCATCTTCCACTTGTTGGATAATTTTGTATGTCGTTACTTAGGCTAAACAACAATTTTAAAAGGGAAGGTATTATTAAGATCATTCAATTAGTGTTAAGAACTGCATTTGTGAATTTTTCAAATTATTTTTCGAATAGCAATTGCTAGTACGCAACTGAAAATAAAATATTTCAGTGCCTAAATCGCCAGAGCCATCCAGTGCGGAGTTATCGAAGTTTAGAAAAGTTTATCGAGTTGTGACGGGTCTAATCCAGAGGGCGCTACCATTAAATTGATTTGTATTGGCGAAAACTGTTGTGCACTATAAGGTTTACATTGTCTGTTCACAATATGGATAAGGCGATTCGAGTCATCTAACGGGAGTGAAGAGTTTACTTTAAAATAAAATGATAAACATGTTTTTTTTCATGTGTATTCCTTGTCGTCTGTATTAACCTTGATATGACAAAAAAATCTGCAATCAACTCAATTAAACTCAATGTAAGATCGTAAATTTTATGGAAAAGAAAAAGTAGAAAATGCTTTTAACATTGATAATAATTTTGCCAGTCGAAAAATAGTATTTTCTATTATTTTTTTTGCTGCTGCCTATGGGGTTTAAGGGAGCGCATCCTCTCCCCTCAATATTTCGATTTTCAAAATTAACCACGAAACAGTAAATGCCGTCAAGGCTACATTTTTTTCCTAAAAGATTTTTCCTTTGTGACTGACAGTCAAAACTATTTCCGCCAGAAACTCTTCCATAAAATCTATGTTTCAAATTTCGAATTTCATTTCTATTTTATTTACTTTAGGGTATTATGTAGATTAAAAAATAGCTGAATCGTTTATAAAACGTACACACGTTGTTTTAATTTAAATTAAAAATAACGTACTACTGAGAAAGTAGAAAAATGGACTTAAAAAATGTTAACTGTAAACCGAATAAAGAAGTGCTATAAAATTTATTCTCCTCCTTATTTATCACCAATATCTGCCTTTATAAACTATATTTATTAAAATATTACATATGATAATATAATATAATCTAGGCGTATCGAAAACGAATCTGAAACAAAAATAATTTCTCTATTAAATGTTAGAGAAAAAAGAGTACGTTGGATGTCAGTCGGCGATAATGCACCAATTTACAGTTTCACAACGTACACAGGAAAACGTGCTAAAAGGTAACCAAATGATCTCACCAATTAGCAAAAATTTACGTTGAAATTACGTGTAGCGGCACGCGAGCCCTGAATTGATATTAGGTTAGTCGCGATTCCAAGTTGTTTGCGTGAAAAAATTATTTTTTTAAAGAAAAAGGAAGAATTCGAACACTTTTCCGAAGTCGTCGCCAGCCTCTCCGCAGGACAATTTCGAAAAGCGCAGGAGCTCCAACGGGACAGCGCCAGCCGAGCTCTGGATTCAGCCCGATTGCTGGATTACCCCACTCCCGAATCAGTTCGTTACTACCCTCCACCACCCCACGACAGAAGTTGGGACTCATAAATTCACGCTGCGCCGATCTGATTGTTTACAACTTTCCCAACTCTCGACTAGTGACAAATGTAACAGTACGAAGGTAAGTACTGATACGCAAATGACATATTTATACATACCGAAGTGAGTTCTTTACTAAAAAGAAACTTAGCGACGGTTTAATTTTTGTGAAATTAGTTTATAAGTTTATATTACATAAAATTATTAGAGTTGATTCGGCTGAAGCGAAAAAGAAAACCATCTCGAAAAACTTCGCAGGAAATTTGTCAGTTTTGAACTTTACCGTTTACGTTTTTTTCCGAAATTTTCTTAAAAATATTATCCACCGTCAAGTTTCGTTTCGAAGGACCTTATTTCGGTGGAAAGGAAATTAAATTGGCTCCTAGAATGTCGCCGGTCCGACAGATTTTGAAATGAATCTAATTTTATACAAGTGCCTTGTCCTGGCATTAGCTGAAACGGTTCATTGAAACCATTTTCGCAATTATAACGCTACTATTATAGAAAAGGGATTTGAACCGGGGTATTGTTAAGAGCCGACAAAAGATAAATACGTCACGTAGAATCGCAAAGTGTCACAAGTTTTGTTAATGCATCTTTAGGGCATTTTACACGAAATATTTTCTCTTCTGTAAATACCCACGCGAGTTTGTACTTACATCGAAACGATTTTATATTCTTTAGGCTCTTATTCACTAGTCAAGCAGCAGTTGTTGTTGTTACATAGAAAATTTTCATTTCCAGTAGATTTACTTTAAACTCGCCTTCAGTTAAGGTTCGAAAATATATATAAAAAGAAGCAATTTATATCTTGTTTACTTGTTTTTCTCTTGGTCTGTACACAGAACGTAGGCGCGATAAGCAAAAACATATCTGAAAATCCATTTAAAAAATGTAGACTCTTTTCAGAGGCCTTTCTGTAAAATTGAAAATGTATATTTTGATAGATACGTTTTTTTTACATTTTTTAATTTTTATGGCGCGCGTTGGTAAACCAGGTGACTTTTTTGCATACATTAATCAATCCTCTTTCAATTTAAGAGGTAAAAGACAAATTCGTACGATTTTTAATAAATTTGAAATTTTGTAGATTTCAATTTGACTTTTTAAACTATAAGTATTTTAACTCTTTCAGAATCTAAGGACTGTTTTCAATTCCATTACTGAAAAACAGCATTTAATATGGTTTCGCTGTTTACGATGAAGACGAATAATTGTAAACAATTGTAAAATTGCAACTGCTTTCATTTGCACACTTAGCAACTAATGAGATTGGACTATGCTTTTTTACAAATGCCTTTATTTGTATTATGTATTATTTGTTTGTTATGGTAAAAATAATGTCACATTTATTGATGAGGTTTGAGCTCCAAAAACCGTTCAAAGTTTTGAAAATTTAACACCCACACAATGTCAAATTGAGAAAGAGATAAAAAATAAGCCAGATTTATTTATGACTTTCAAAAAGAGGTAAAATATGAAAAAAAAATCTTCGTCGAAGTTTAAAAGAAAAATTACAAAAAGCCTTTATTCACCGAAGTCCCTGTTCGAATATGTTTGTTTAGCTTAAACGTTTGATACGATTGTTTTATTGTTAATCGCAATTGGAAACCAGACACTCAATTTTGTTATGTATTTTGCCGATACTTTTCAGAAAGCGATGAGCCAATTACATGCGAACGATGGGCCGTATACGTATACCCAAATTTCGCAATAACACTTTTATTGGAAACAAAGGCAAAGCGCCATAGTTAATCGGGATAACTGCCTTAACAGTCTAACTTAATTTGCTGATAGCAGCGGTATAAATTCACAGAATATCTAAAACGTTGGGCTAGCACATAGGACACGGTTATATATAGACCTATATAGCTTTGCCCTTAAACAACGGTGGTAATAGCTCGACGCCGGTCTAAATTTTCTTAGAGGGGGTACTTAAACCATTCCTTATCTTATACGTCGACCGACGTCTTACGCATTCCCAAGCTGCGTCGCAAATTTGTACAATTCGTCAACAATATTTAAGTATTTTTGTTCTCTATTATCTTAACGCATCAATCTATAAAGTATTTTAAATGAAACACCCTTTATAATTTTATCCATTCTGTCATATTATAAAGAAAAATATATATAGCTTTTCGGTATTTCGTTCAGTCTTTTGTGAGAAAACTCAAGTTCAATTGTTTGAATAAAAAAGAGAAATTATTTCATGTTTTTGATCTGACGAATAACCTATATTATAAACAAATAATGTTTCTAGAACCAATTTTGTCGTCATCGTGACAACTTATAAACAATGATTTGTTTTCCCAGACAATAATAATGGTAATTAGTAATTTCTATTTTTGAATAACAAACTAAAGTTTTTACAAAAATGACCAGGTATATATTTTTGAAATTCGGTTAAAAGGGACTTTCATATTAACTACGACGAACTAGAACCGCTTTGGTTTCCCAAACTTCCAATTGTTTCGCGAATCAAAATTTTAAACTCATGCGTACCTAATGAGTGCAAAACAAATCCAGGAAAGGGAACAAAAATTTAGGAAAAAAGACGAAAGAAGAGGAAACAAAATCAGACACATTTTAAATTTGAGGATAATTTATAATATTTTTCAAAACTGTGAATTTGATAGCAATTTCATTACAGAATGTTTAGAATGCACGGCTCATAATTTTTTGAATTGTTAATATGTCTGAAACAGTTGCAAATAATAAAATAAACGTGAAAAAATATTTCACTAAAAATAAAATATGGACAATTAAAATAATGTACTTGTGTAATTTTATAATGAGAGTATTATCTTCCATTTTATCTAATTTAAAGAAAACAATTTATTTAAAAATGCATAAACTAAGTCAAATTTGTAAAATAATATTTTTAATATCGGAGAGGAATCCAAAATTACAATAATCGGACTCTAGTGGATATTTTAATTCTAACGGGAAGCCTTGTGGTTAATTAGTCGAGAACTAGCGCACCAAAACTACCAACACGAGATACAATTTTTGGGGTCATTTACGGAGGTAATGCTACCGCGTGTGGCCACGTGGCGTAAAAATTTTAACGAATGATTAATTATGTGCCTTTCGTGTAACTCCAAAGGGAAATTGTCGTAACAGATACTCGTCCGTCGCTAGTCTGCTTTGTTTACGCTTGTGTTCAAGTGCGCGCCAGCTTCTAGCTATACATTTCCCGCACAAATGACTTCACCCTCGTTTGTATAGTCGAATCCCGAGGAACTTAGAAACATAGCAAGTTAATAACGACTAATCTGAGAACCGAGTATTAGCAAAAGCAGCTATATTTTATTCTTGAAATAGACCCTACAGTTTGAAACACCAACAAATACCTTAGTGAAAATTATTGATGAAGTGTTTTTAGTCTTTTAGAGTCGGCGTAGTAAGGTACCTGTCAATTAGTGGTAAATTAAGCTATTGATCTATTATCATTATTTGACATTTCAACCAACCAAACTCTAAATTTTTATCAAATTAGACATAATCACTGAGACCATTCCTCTTGGCCATCAGAAACCATTTTGCAAAATCAAAATTCTCGCTAGATCCATATTAACTTCATTCAATTACTTCTATCATTTTGATTTAAGAAATAATCAACTTCGTTGAATAATTGCAATAAAATTCAATATTATAGTTTAAAAACTAACCTAATATGTTTGACAGTTCGTTAAATTGTAAACAGTTTGTACTTCCAGATATTATTAACCACAAAATTCATCATACAAATAATGTTTAAAGTAGCTGACCAAGGACGGTTAATAAAGAGTGTCTTCGAGGAAAAGACACTGATGTTTTGCAAGAAATATTTTGTTTTCGGTAAACACTCGAGTATGCATATCGAAAACACGCCTTTATATCCCTTTAACTCTTATTCTCAAGTCTCTTTGAGCAACGACGATTTCTCTGGATTTAAGTTTGAGTCTTATTTGTGGAATCACACCGCAAACCATACAAAAAGAAGCTTCATACGTTTTTCCAGAACGGGTTAAGTTTTATTTTTTTGCTTTCATGCCGTCGCAAGTTCGCAAACTAGTAGATTTACTTTGAAAAGCTAAGCCTTAGAATACAAAACAATAACACATTGTATAGTTAACGTCACATTTTTTAATACAAACATTTTTTTAGTTTTTAGTTTTTCACAGGATGAAAAGGTTTTTCTAATAAGACATCCTTCAACATATTTTCAACCAGTCAACATGTCTTTAGTATTTGATAGGTTATTAAAAAATATTATTATTATTAAATTTATCACGATTTGTGAAAAGAAATATACCGACTTCATACGAAGGCAACAACGGTCCAGTTAAAATGTCAAATGCTTCAAAATAATTTCTATAGCTACGAGTTTTTGGCTTTCTAGAAAGAGAACGTATACACATTTTATGAGCAACAAAAATATCCTCAGCGAGGGTCGACCGACCCCAGAAACAGACACCATATCGCTGTAGAATTTGCAAAAAAAGCCGAGTTAGCTCCTCCATTTTGACAACTGATTTTAATTGCCCAGAACATAATTTTGAGGGTTTACTTTAATTATTAGATATTGAAAATGTGTTTTGCAATTAAGGTTTTCATCACTAAATATATTGCCGCTAAAAGGGAGATGTTAATTTTAATTTCCACCTCTGTGGACACACAAAAGTAGACATTTCTTTACAGCAATGGTTGTTTTAATGACTTATTTTCTTTCTTTCTTTCTTATCTTTAGCGACGGCATAAGTGTTCATTCCATCATTGGTTTTGAAATTTTTTGTAGGTAAGACGGATGACATGTTTTTAAAATTTTATATAGATAAATAATAATAATACATAATAAAAACATGATTCTTTATCTGATCCTCGGTATTTTTAATTAAATGCTGATTTAAATATTTGAACATTTTCAACTGGATTATAAATTCGCTATAAACTGCTGTGCTATATAGGAGTAAGAAGAATATTTTAATATAAGACTTTAGAATCCAAAAACCGCACCTACTCATCTGCGTAGGACAAAAAATGATTGCAACTGAAATTGAACTTTCTCTTTAACGGCTCCAACTCTGTACAAAATGGAAT